TGTGTGTGACTCCCCTGTGAGTGTGACGTCCTGTGTGATGTCCTGTGTGTGTGTGTGACGTCCTGTGTGTGATGTTCTGTGTGTGACTCCCCTATGTGTGATGTCCTGTGTGATGTCCTCTGTGTGAGTGTGACGTTCCCTGTGTGTGACTCCCCTGTGAGTGTGACGTCCTGTGTGATGTCCTGTGTGTGTGTGTGACGTCCTGTGTGTGATGTTCTGTGTGTGACTCCCCTATGTGTGATGTCCTGTGTGATGTCCTCTGTGTGAGTGTGACGTTCCCTGTGTGTGACTCCCCTGTGAGTGTGACGTCCTGTGTGATGTCCCGTGTGAGTGTGACTCCCCTGTGTGAGTGTGATGTCCTGTGTGTTTGACGTTCCCTGTGTGACGTCCTGTGTGATGTCCTCTGTGTGTGTGAGGTCCCCTGTGTGAGTGTGATGTTCCCTGTGTGTGACTCCCGTGTGAGTGTGACGTCCTGTGCGAGTGTGACGTTCTGTGACTGTGTGATGTCCCCTTGAGTGTGATGTCCTGTGTGCGTGTGTGACGTCCCCTGTGCGAGTGTGAGGTCCCCCGTGCGAGTGTGAGTGAGAGCCGGGGCCCCAGAGGGAAGGCCTCCCAGGACGCGCACCCTTGCAGAGCGCCAAAAGCAGCCAGCCATGTAAGCGAAACTCACCGAGAGACAAGAGGGTCTCCGAGGCCACGTGTCTGATCTCCTCAGTGTCGCACTGACACAAGGTCACCAGCATCTTGATGCTTTCGGTGGCCTGCGGGGAGAGAGCCGTTAGCGCTGACACTCCCGTCGGGGCCACGTGAGGTGGTGCGGAGACGCCGGGAGGAACTTCGAGGCCAAGACGGTCTGACCCAGGGTCCCTGGCCCCGCCGGGTGTCGGGCTCACTCGGGGCTCTTTTAAAGCAATGCATTCTGGGCCGTGGCTCCAGGGTGCGCCGTCCTGCCTCCCGGCTCCGGGATGGAGCGCAGGCAGGCGGGGCACTGGAGGAGCCCCGGCCCGGAAGCGAGCAGCCGGCCTGTCCTTCTGGAACGGGATCCCCGTCTCCCATCTCCTTCCCGTGTGCCTTCCTGGTTCCCACCGGCACTCAGTCAGGGCCTCAGTGTTTAGCTTATGTGCCCGACGATAGGAAGCAAGCCGGGCAGGGGGGGGGGGTCAGAACCTTTGTGTCCGTTCATCCCACACGGATCAGCGCCCCATGGACCGGGGCTCGCTCCCGGCCCCCCAGGGTTTCCAGTCCAGGGGAAAGATAGATGGTTCCGGGGGGTGGTGGGAGGGGTGGTGGGGGGGGTGGGGGTTGGGGGGAGTTTCCAGTCCAGGGGAAAGATAGATGGTTCCGGGGGTGGGGTGGGGTGTGTGTGTGTGTGTGTGTGTGTGTGTGTGTGTGTGTGTACACGCGCTGTGGAGAAGGAAAACGGGGCCAGGCGAGGGGAGCGGCTTGTCCCAGGATCCCGATCCAGGAGGGCCTCACAAGCCACATGCAGTGTTCTGAACTTCATTCTTAGCATCGTGGGAAGCCACGTAAGAGCTTGCGAAGCTCTTGAGAGAGCTAGAGAGTGAGCAGGGGAGGGGCAGAGAGAGGCAGAGAGAGAATCCTGACCAGGCTCTGCACCCTCAGTACGGAGCCCGAGGTGGGGCTTGAGCTCACGAACCACGAAACCATGACCTGAGTCGAAATCAAGAGTCCGACGCTTCACAGATGGAGCTGCCCAGGCACCTCGGATTTGTGTTAAGAGCAGTCCAACAGCCACGGAAAGCACGCACGGAAGGAGTGGGCTCCACGGAGGCAGAGGCCGGTGGGAGTGGCTCGAATCGGGGTGAGCAGAGTGGGGAGACCATGGACAGAGACGGGGTGGGGGGCGGCCGGGTATGAGGGTGAGGTGGGGGGGCACTGAAGAGCTGCACCCCCCACCGAGGTGCAGAGGGCTGGAGGTGGGTGAGGGGTGCGGTTGGGGGTGACACGCCAGCAGCAAGTGGGGTACGTGCCGGGGGGCTGTTAGTCGGGGAAGATGACAGAGAACACGGGGGAGGGCACGCAGGCAGAGGAGGGCCTGGCGCCTGTCTCCACGGACACCGCCACGCCGGGCGCCCCGTGAGGCAAGACAACAACGCTTCTCTGACATTCTGACGAGCTAAGGGACCAGATCAAGAGACTGTGACTCTTCTGGAAGGAAGCCGGGCTCACCGAGCCCTGGTGCCTGTGTCAGGAGGGTCAACAGCAGTGAGCGGCCTGCAGGCCTCAGGCTGTCTTAGCCCAAAGAAACACAAGAGGGACCCGAATTTCAGGGGCCCCTTGGTTTGAGGATCTCCATCTCTCCAGTTTGTGTCCAGTTTGGTAACAGGAAAATGTGATGTCTGCTTGCTAGCATCAACCAAGCAACAACAATTATAGTAACAATGATGATGATGATGACGACGATGATGATGAGGTTTTCCCTGAGAAGATGGCTAAAGTTGATTGATTTGGGTGGATGAACCCTGAGTCTACACTGTTTTTCCTACCATGCTGCCTGGAGCCCCTTTCAGGAGCTGGGGGGCTGGGGATGGTTTAAAAAGAGGGGCTTTGTCCAGCACAAAGGACCGTATTGTCTGGAGGAAAAGAGAAAAACAGAGGAATCGGTGCTCCCAGACTTGAGATGTGCTAGAGTCAAGTCCGTTGCTTTTACGGTCACATTCACGCTGCACAAAGCCACAGAAGCAGACACAGTTCACGGTACCCTGGTGTCTTTGTTTCCATTAGCTCCGTGTCACACCCATCATCTCTGAGAAGTCACGGGCACTGGGGGGCCACTCAAATACGTAGCAATCGCTGTGGGCTCTCTCAGCCACATAAGGGGACTTTTCAGCAAGTGACAAGGCAGGCTACGTTTCGGAGCTGTCTCTCTGCACAGGTCGTGAGATCCTCTTTTGAAAGAATTAACCCCTCTCTTCATGCCCATTCGGCTGCAGTCCCTTGTCCCACGAGGCCATCCAAGATTTTAGCAAGTTTGAAGGTGTGACTTCATCCTTTTCTCAAGAGTGGTCTTATTTTTGACGATTTAAAGTAGGGTGAACATTAAATCTTCCCAATCGAAAGGCAAACTCTTTCTTTTTTAAATTTCCTTAAGTAATCTCTATGCCCAACTGGGGGCTCAAACTCACGACTCCGGGTTGCACACTCCGCAGACTGAGCCAGCTGGGCGCCCCGAAAGGCACACCCTCTAATGTCTGGACTCCTCAGCCTTTGTTCCATTTACATGTTAGCTCTGTCACTGCTCAGTGCCACCTCCCCCGACACAGTCAAGATGGGTGGGCTGCTGGGCACCTGGGTGGCTCAGCCGATGGGTGTCTGACTTCAGCTCAGGTCATGGTCTTGTGGATTGTGGGTTCAAGCCCCATACAGGGCTCTCCACTATCAGCGAGGAGCCTGCTTCGGACCCTCTGTGTCTCTCTCTCTTGCCCCTCCTCCACTTGCACGCTCTCTCAAAAATGAACATTAAAAGAAAAAGTGTGAGCTGCTTGTTAAAGCAGCTTGTGGGGAAGCATCTGGGAATTTATTGGCACACCGAATTTCAGTATTTTCTTACAAATTTTATTTGCCCTTGCTCTTTTTTGTACACAAGAAAAACTAGTGAAATCATCCTATCAACTTTTTTGGGATAAGCTATGCTTTTCTAACACTGACCTGCAGGCTGTTGAAACCCATAATTATTTCATTCTGAAAGTTATCAACTCTGACAAAATAAAGTCACATTTAGTTATTGTCTTAAAAAAAGACTCCAGGACGCCTGGGTGGCTAAGTCACTTAAGCAACCAACTTTGGCTCAGGTCATGATCTCGCAGTCAGCGAGTTCGAGTCCCACACCGGGCTCTGTGCTGACAGCTCAGAGCCTGGAGCCTCCTTCGGATTCTGTGTCTCCCTCTCTCTCTGCCCCTCCCCCACTTACGCTCTGTCTCTCTCTCTCTCTCAGAAATAAGCATTAAGGAATTTTTTTTTAAGAAAAGACCCCAACAAATACAGTTTCCACAGTGAAGGAGGTTAAGATATGTGCTTCCCAATATGGGAAGAAAACTGTTGTGTGCACTTGGCCTAGACTTGCTCAGAGCTCAGCTGTCGGGGCCTCTGGGGCTGGGTCTTACCTGCAGGCTTTTCAGGGCCAGGCAGGCTGCCTTCTGGAGCTGGAGGTTTGCCTTTGTCAGCGCCTCACAGTAGTAGAGCAGGGCCTGGAAGAGAGGGAGGCACCCCGTGAGGACACTTTGATTAGGCTGCAGTTGTAGAGGTATCACTTTTACTCCCCGACCTAAACCGTAGAGGAGACAAGACATTTTGTACAATCCTCAGAGCAAAAAAGAATCCATAAATATCCATCCATAAAAAATATCCATAAAAATTCATGTTTACTGAAAGAACGGTCTCTGAACTCAATAGATTACTGTGCCAGGCCACACACTGTGGAATATGAAGTGGGAAGGTGCACAGGTGCGTTCCCAGCTTTCGAGAGGCCTGAGGTCTAGTGCAGGTGCTAGACTGGGGAAGGGCCTGCAGGGAATTGTGTCTCCACAGTGGCTATGAGGCGTGAAGGGAGTCGCGTGGAAGAAGGCCACCTTCCGAAGTGCCAGGGCAGGGCGCACGAACACGACACCCCACCCGGACGGGGAGGGATGGGTTAGATTTTGGCCGGGACACTGAGGGAGAACAAGGCATTCGGCAGAAAGGGAGCAGGGAAGGGGCAGAAAAGTGGTGCTGAGTTCGATGTGTAGCACACGGTGCTCTGCATAAAAATCTCAACGTAGAAATAAGTTCTTATCTTTACCAGGCTAATTTCTTTCTCAATAGCTTCTATTTTTCTTTCTTTTGTTTAAAGTTTGTTTTATTTATTTTGGGGGGGGGAGGAGAGAGAGAGAGAACCCCAAGCAGGTTCTGCACTGTCAGCATGAAGCCCTATGTGGAGCCTGAGCCCACAATCCATGAGATCATGACCTGAGCCGAAACCAAGAGTCAGATGCTCAACCCAGGCGCCCCAACAGCTTTTATGTCTTAGATTTGCCTCTCTGCCTCGGCCGTGTCTTGTCAAGGTCTTTCTTTCATGCCTGGATCACCGCTGCCACGTGTCTGCTGCTTAGCACCGAACGAGAGGGGACTGCTTCCCTGTGGTGCCCCTGTGTGGTGTCCCCCTCCCCCGTGAGCAAGCCTCCCAGCCTCTCCCTCAGATGAGCAGAGCGCCTCCCTTTTTCTGTCTGTGCCCCGCATCAGCTTGGGACGCCCCCTCACGGACTTTTCCAGATCCTACACGTTTGTCTCCCGCTCCCTCCAGCTGCCCCGCCGCTGCTGCCGCAGTCAGTGCTGTGTCCTGCTGCTGCTGCTGCTGCTCCCGTGTGACAGACCCCCTTCCTGGTTATCTTTTCTTTTATGTGTATTTATATACTTTTGAGAGAGACAAAGAGTGTGAGCAGGGGAGGGGCAGAGAGACTCCCAAGCAGGCTTCACGCTGTCAGCACAGAGCCTGATGTAGGGCTTGAACTCATGACTGTGAGATCATGACCTGAGCCAAAATTAAGAGTCAGATGCTTACCGGACTGAACCCCCCACACCAATGAACTTTTAAACTGGCTCAAGAGCCAGGCCCCTTCACTAACCACTGTGTGACCGGCTCTCTCCTAGCTTCCGGATGTCCTGTGACTGACGCTGGCCGAATTATCATTACTTAGGCACACCTGTGTTTATGCCTATTTTCTACCCTCAACTTGCTCACATGTGCCTCTTGCATTTTACTTAACTTCCTGTGCCGTAGTCTGTTAATCTGCAAAATGGGGGGAATAGAAAGCCGCTCACAGGGCTTTATGAATCTTACACGTGGTGACACACGTACAGGACTGAAAACCGGCCGTGGCACAAAGTAAGCCCTCAATAAACAGAGCGGCGGTATTACTATCATTCTTATACACATCTGTGTATTCATATATTTGTTTATGGGAGAAAGCTACAATAGTGACTCCATTTATGCTGCCACCCCCTAAAGATGAAGACCTTGGGGTTTTTGTTTTTTAAATTAATCTGATTCCTTACAGCACCTAGAATGATATTCTGTGCTTACTGAGCACCCATCAGCACAGCGCCTGGACGGAAGAGCTTGAAAGCGTAACCGAGCGCCTGGTGATGAGTTTGCTCATGGAGTGGCGTCCAGCGCGTCACGGTCCCGCCCGGCTGTGATGGGACGCGGCCTGGATTCTCAGGTGTGCGCAAACATGGAGATGTAATTCACATGCCACGAAATGCACCCTTTCAAGTGTATGGCCCGGTGGTTTTTCATGTACTCACAAACCATCTCTACCACCTAATTCCAGATCATTTTCTTTTCTTGTTTTTAATCATAAAGTTTATTTTTAGGTGGTACCAAGAGAAAGGGACCGGGTCATTTCCATCACTCTAAAAAGAAATCCTGGACCCTTTGGGGTCGCGCCCCTGGCCTCTGCCCTCCAGCTCCTGGCAGCCACCGATCCCTCCCTCTCTGGGTTTGCCTCGTCTGCACACGTTGTGGGAACGGAGTCACAGAGCGTGTGGCCCTGTGTGCCTCGCACTTTCACGTAGCCAGGCGTGTTCAAGGCTCCCCCACGCTGTGGCGCGAGTCAGGGTTTCATCCCTTGTCCGCTGCACAATGTCCCCTGTAGGGACAGGCTGCAGTTGTGCGCTCGCCAGCTGACGGACATTTGGACCGTTTCCACTCTTTGGCTGTTGTGAGTAGTAATCATACTAAATGTCCCATTTCCCTTAGGCTTTTGCATAGTTATCAATTGGCCTCCAGGGCCAGTCCTTGTGAACATTATAAAGAGGATGAACTTTAGCACGTGATGCTTCTCTCTTCTCCCCTGTCCATCTCCCTCCTGTACTCCTCCTAAGAGCCTCCAAGCCTTAACCACCTAACCAGAGTTTCACTCGTTCCGCAAACCAGACACTCCAAGGCTTAACTGGCCGAAACCAACGTAAGTGGTCCTTCGTCTCAGGCATGTTTGCGTAACACTGATTCAAGAGGGATAAAATGCTGCATGTGGGCCCGGTCAGTCCACACTGCTGGTACTTGGGTCTTGGTTTTGGTTTTTTTTTTTGGGGGGGGGAATGTTTATGTATTTATTTTGAGAGAAAGTGTGCATACTTGAGCAGGGAAGGATGAGAGACAGGGAGAGGGAGAGAACCCCAAGCAGGCCCTGCACTGCCAGCACAGAGCCTGACAGGGGCTTGATCCCATGAATCGTGAGATCAGGATCTGAGTGCCAGCCAAGAGCAGAACACTCAACCAACCGAGCCACCCAGGTGGCTTCCCTGGGGATATGATCTCTGGATGGGACTTCTGTGAGCATGAAGCCCATAACCCTGCTGGCTTGAGTGGGAGACGCGTGCTGCTTCCTGGCTTGAGGAAGCATCCGGCACTCCCTGTGCCTTGCAGACATACACCAACCATCTCACAGGACACGTGAGTGGTATCTTGCTCACTGGAGTCTGAGTGGTGGCCCAGGCAGAGGTGGCTGCTGTGACATTCAGATTGGTAGAGTTCTTTTTTTTTTTTTTTTTTTTAGTATTTACTTATTCTTTTTTTTAATTTTTTAAATGTTTTAAATTTATTTCTGAGAGACAGCATGAGCAGGGGAGGGTCAGAGAGAGAGGGAGCCACAGAATCCGAAGCAGCTCCAGGCCCTAAGCTGTCAGCACAGAGCCCAACGCAGGGCTGGAACTCATGAACTACGAGATCATGACCTGAGCCGAAGTCAGATGCTTAACTGACTGATTCCCCCAGGTGCCCGGTGATCGGTAAGAGTTCTAAAAAGCCAAGAGAAGGCGCGCTGTGAAACAAGAAGTCCCTGTCACTGTACAGGACAGCGAACGTCTCCTCTGGCAAGTCCCAGATGACTGGAGAAACAATGACGTCCAACACAACGGTACAATTGGAGAATAGATATCTTCTACTTGTTTGGGTGGGGGGAAGGTAAAAAGCCTCAAAAATGAACCAATCTACAACTTTTAGTTTGTTTCAATAGCTATGGTTTTTTGAAGGTTGAAGATTTATGGAAACACTAGCTCTCACCCAGATATTTTTATATTTGCTTTAGCCCTTCACATGTGAGTACAGAATTAATGTTGCAATGTTTGCTATTTCATATAGGAAAAAATGGAAAGAACTCAAGGACTGGGCAGGGTGGGCCCAACATTTCTCAGGGGCACCTAAGTTTCTAGCTTCTTAACTACTATATCAGCTAAGCCATTGGCAAGGGAAGGCTCTGTCATGGAAAATGAAGCCAAGGGCGTTAGTAACAAAGAGAACTGAACTGGAATAAAGAGAGAGCCTGTGGCATGTGTCCTGAAAGTAGAAGGCACATACAGAAGAGCCAAAGAAGGGCTGTGTTCTAATTACTGTGGCTGCTGTGTTTTGTTTTTTTTTGTTTTTATTTTCTTTAACGTTTATTTTGAAACTGAGAGAGCAAGTGGGGGAGGGGCAGAGAGAGGAGGAGAGAGAGAATCCCAAACAGGCTCCACACTGTTAGTGCAGCCTGATGCGGGGTTCCATCCTATCGGTGAGATCAGGACCTGAGCCGAAATCAAGAGTTGGACGCCTAACCAACTGAGCCACCCGGGCGCCCCAGGCTGCCTTTTCTAAGGACATGCTAGACCATGAGTCCTTGTCATGACCGAAGGGCACCATGGCCCAGCTCACAGAAGACTGTCTGTCTGTATAGGCTGCTTCCAGCAGTGGCCACACGCCTTTACCTTTCCTCCTCTCTCTTCAGTAGAGTGAGGACGGCTGGCTTGTAGAACAGCCGTTGGAGTGGATCCCAGTGAAAGTCTGGAGCTTTGTAGGGAAGAACAATACGAAGTCCCTGCTCTTGGGCCCAAATGGCCTTGGAATGGGAGATCTTGTAAAGACACAAACATCCCACATTCCCTAGCGTGGCTAATGCTCAGAAAGTTAAGCTCTTCTCAGCTGTCAACACTGACCTTTCCCAGGTCAAGAAGGGGCCAAGTTTAATTTTACTGAGCTGATCTGAGGGTTGGCGTGAGCTGTTTTTTGGAACAACTGTTCAGATTATAAAAGGGACCGGGCTGCTGTCTGTATGGGGCCCCCGTGTGCCTGAATCGCCGATGCCTGTCACACGTGGCTGGTACTAAATTAAAGCCAAGAAGGAGGGCAAACCGCCTCTTCCCTGGAAAAAAGGAGCACTAGCTTTTAAAATAAAAAATAATCTTGTTCTTTGACTCAATAGTTTGATGATTTGATGTCAAACTACTCATGAAATATGTGTGCGTGTATGCTCACTGTGGTATTTATCAGAGCTGGGTGCACAAAGGCCCATCAATACAGAAAAAGAGAATAAATTACAGAATGTCCCTGCCCTGAGATGCACATTAATCCATCACATAGAATGAACATGTTCTAACATGGAAAGTAGCCGTGGTCAATTGTATTTAAATACTCAGTTATGCAACAGAACAGTGTGATCTTATTTAAGAAAAAAAATAATTATAGGGGTGCCTGGGTGGCTCAGTTGGTTGAGTGTCTGACTTCAGCTCAGGTCATGATCTCACAGATGGTGAGTTCAAGCCCCACATCAGTCTCTGTGCTGACAGCTGGGAGCCTGGAGCCTGCTTCAGATTCTGTGTCTACGTCTCTCCCTGCCCCTCTTCTTTCTTGTGCTCTCTCTCTCTCTGCTCCCCCTCTGCTCGTGCTCTCTCTCTCTCAAAAATAAACATTAAAAAAAGAAAAAAAGAATTATAGATGTTAGCATATGCATAGAAAAATATCAGAAGGAATATATACCAAATCTTCAACAGTTTTCTCTGGGGGCTAGACTTAGGGGCAAATATTTACAGTACATTTTTATGGTTTAAATTGTGATACAGGGTATATATTATTAATAGGTAGAAGAAAATTATTTTTTATAAAAAACATATGGCAAAATATTCATAGTAAATGACAGAAAAATAAACAAACTTCTGGCCTGATGTCATGGTTTGGGGCTTTACCTTTTCCCTGAAGTGCTCATTTCTGGAGGCTGCAGCCAAGTACAGCATTCCAGCTTCACGAGCCTGCTGGTCATCCCCAGTCAGCAGCATGGCCAGGGTCCCGAGTACTTCCTGCTGGGCCGAGAGGCTGCCGGGAGAAAGGTCACTCATGGCCTGGAGCAGTTTCTCATCTCTTAGCGACTGCAGAGTCTGAATCAAGGAAACTAAAGAGTGAAAAGAAAGTGAGATTCACCTTCTGATCATAAGGTAACACACTCACTAAAAATATAAGACTCAAGTATACATAGTCCCATACTTTGCAGACCCGAGTATGCAGAGTCAGCATGTGATGAAGGTGGTGTTTCCAATTCGTGACAACAGGGCATGATTCAAACAACTCCATTAAGGCAATCTCCATCTCGTATGGCCATTAAAATAACTTCTAGGTGTATTAAATAGTCAAATGTAAAAATATATAGCGAATATACAAGTAAACACTTTCTACAGTCTTCTTGATGAGAGCAAACTCTGTTGTCCATCTGTCTTTGAGCTACACCCTTCTGGCAATCCGCTAGCCCCAAGGGAGCCCAGCTTGACATTCTGTCTGTCTGCATGCGGGCACCTGGGCCCCGATGGAGAAATCCAGTTGGTGGGTTGGAATGTGGACATATGATAAAAAAATAAAAATCTGAGTCCCGTTTGGACAAATGGACAATGTTCCATGACCAAAGAACATATTCTGATCCCTAACAAGGTATTCAGTACAGGCATCTATTAGCCACCAAAACATTAGGATAAGAGCATATCTGGTCGGTACAGATGGGAAACAATAACCTACAATTTGTATCCATAGGAAAACAGTATCCTCTATACAATAGACACGTTAGTGAATTTTCGAGATTTTTTTTTTCTTGGCTTTAATTTCCTATTTCTCCCACTGGGGATGTTCTTTATAAATAAACTGCTTTATAAATAAACAGCATAGCACAAGGTCTCCATATAGTATTATATATACAACAAAACAAACAAATGATGGAAAACGACCTGTTTAACAGTAATCAACTATATTTGCATGCATCCAAATGCAGGGAAACTACAAAACTTTTTTTTAAAAAAGTTTCAAAAAATAACATGAGATATGATGTCAAATAAAAGCTAGGATATAATACTCTATAATAGGTCATCACAATTTTGAAATTTCAAATCCACGCATATCCAACTAAAAATATATTAAATTTTAAAAACAAGATAATAGGTGATCTGAATATTGTTGGGTGTACTTTTTTGTTTTCTAGTCTTTTTCTTTTTTTAAAATAATGAGGAAGGGGGAGCCTGGGTGGTTCAGTCAGTTAGGCGTCCAACTTCGGATCAGGTCATGATCTTGCAGTTAGTGAGTTTGAGCCCCACGCTGGGCTCTGTGCTGACAGCTCAGAGCCTGGAGCCTGTTTCAGATTCTGTGTCTCCTCTCTCTGCCCCTTCCCCACTCATGCTCTGTTTCTCTCAAAAAATGAATAAACGTTAAAAAATAATGAAGGCCTTTTTCTTATCTAATGGAAGAAGAAGGAAAAAAAACAAGTATTGGGGCGCCTGGGTGGCTCAGTCGGTTGACTGTCCGACTTCCGCTCAGGTCGTGATCTCACAGTTGTGGGTTCGAGCTCCGCATCAGGCTCTGTGCTGACAGCTCGGAGCCTGGAGCTGCTTCAGATCCTGTGTCTCCCTCTCTGCTCCTCTCCTGCTTGTGCTTTCTCTCTCAAAAATAAAGACTAAAAAAAAAATTAAGAAAGAAGGTACAAGATTAGGGTTTCTTCTACAGTCATCTTCCACTCCTACTGGGGAGTAGGTACATCTTCCCTGGGACCGTGGGGGGCTGGGAGAGAGGCTCAGAGATGTCAACTGCCAATGATGTCACTTGAGCAGCAGAGAACTTTACTCAGAAAGCTGCTTTAGAGAGTTGCAAACTTAGAGAAGATAGGAAGACTCTCCGACAGTGAGATCCTGTGGTCTCCTGCCTCCGTTCTCCTTCTAGAACTCTGGACCAGTGTCTGCTCCTCATGAGGGCTACGCAGGTTCTCCTGTGTTTTGGTAGGTTTGGCACTGGGTGGGGGAGAAAGTGCTCCTTCTCCCTGGGATGGACATGTCAGTGCAGGGTTCAACGTTCTGGAAGGAAGGGCTGAGTCTGGTGCTGAGCCAACCTGTCTACTTGTAACGAACACACTGCACTCCCATCCCCTTTTCTTGGCAGTGGTGACATCTGGGTGGATTTACAGAGTGCAGACTTGGGAACCAGAACCCAGCTCCTCACTGCCTGGCTGTGCTCCCAAAGAGTTTTCCCCTCACTGCAGGTGCTTATTTTATTTCTAACATGTGAAGCAGCACATGGGAGTGAAGGCGATAATGAGCTTCATGCCACTCCATTATATGGGTGCCCATTCTTCACATTCCCTGGAGACACAGCTTGAGGTTTGGTTTTCCATCTTCTCACCTTTCCTGACCAACACGTCACCTCATCTGCCTTCTCATGAACCCCACTGCTGATTATTATGAAAGCGTCACCAAAAAGGGCAACATAAAACACTACTGCCTATAGGCTTGATCCCACAAATGGCAAATCCATTAATGAAGAAAATTATATCATTAAATCAGCTTCTTGTCAATGTCATACCCTTGCCAGGTGATTGGGATGCTCTCAGTAAATCCCTGGTTCACTGCCAAGAGGCTCACTACTCTTAAGGATCCAGAAATCGTTGAAAAGGCTGATCTCATCCCAGCTGTTGATTTGGGGGAAGAAATGGTTACCAGCACTAAAAACTAAAACTGACAAGACCAGAGCTCACTCCAAATTGAGCCACCACACACTGCAATGAAAGAACATGTCCCACCTTGCTTGGCCAGCTGGTTCAAGTAGCTCTCTAGGTCGCTCACACCGTGGCTGGTAAAGTAACTATAATACTGGAAAACAGTGATGACTTCTGAAGAGAGGCTGGAGGGGAGCAGAGGCTCAGCCTGGTCCAGGATTTGGGACACCAGGGTTCGAAACACTGTTTGGAAGGAGAAACACAAAGCACTTTCAAGAGCCGTGACAATTCATTCACTCACCTGTCTGTTTTTGTACCATGGTATGCGGCAGAGTGCAGTATGTGCGATGAGGTCCTCAGCGTGCAGCTGTTTGGTTACTGGACGCATGTATACACACCCGTGTAACTGCGTTTCGTCAAGAAACAGAACACTGCTAGCACCCCACCAGGTTGACTCATGCCCCCTTCCCAGAGTGTAGACCGCCCCCACCTCCACCACAGGTAACTAATAATCCGAGTTCTATCAATATGAATCAGCGTTACCTGTTCTTGAACATCATATAAATGGGATTAGGCAGTATATACTGTTTGTATCTGGTTCCTTTTACTCAATAAAATATTTGTGGGATTCACCTAAATTGCTTCTTACAATAGTAGTTTATTCTTTTTAAAAATTGCTTTGTAATACCCTATTGTATGACTGACACTATATACGCAGTACTATATACATATATGTTACACACACACACATTTATTTTCTTGTTGGTGGGTATTTGAGCTGTTTCTGATTTCCAGCTCTTGTGAAGAAAGGTACTATGAACCTTTTTCTGTGACTATAAACATGTATCTCACTTGACATATTTAGGAGCAGAACTGCTGGATCTTGGGTAGGGGTATATTTAGGAGCGGAATTGCTGGATCACAGGGTAGGGGTATATTTAGCTTTAGTAGAATTGCCAGTGTTTCCCAAGTGGTTATACCATGGAACACTCTTCTATGGGTGACATTTAATGAAAAATGTATACAGTCACTTAAACAACATTGGACGTACAGTGTTTTTAAAAGCCACTGCTGAGATTCTGAATTAGAACATGCTGGATGTCTTTCTTTTCTTAGAGTAGACGATGGCTAGATGATGTTTTCTCTGGAGAGCCAGCCTCATCTCCAGGGCCGGCGGCTGGGGAAGTGGCAAGGGCTTGCCAGGGCTCCCTCCCAGGTCTCCCTCCCAGCCCGCCAGGGCTCCCTCCCAAACCAAATGGCAGACATCTTCCTCTGTACAGACCGCTGCCCTGTACCTGGGTCTGCGAGTCCTGGATATTCTCTGTTGACCGTTCTGGCAAAGCTGGCTTCCAGCTGCTTCATCACCCTGTCTGCTGAGCTGTGGTAGACCCCCACTGGGCTGCAGCACCTCGTCCAGAATGACAGCAAAGACAGCTTTTTGTGAAATTCTGGGATGGCTGGAAAAGAACAAGTCCAGCCCCCAACACATATTTGAATGAAGTGCATGAAGAGATGCACCTGTGTGGGGGTGGGGCAGACATTGCTGGGGCCTCTTTTTAAAAAAAGACTGTGTTTTTAAAAAAATGAAAAAAAAATTTTTAATGTTTTATTTATTTATTTTTGAGAGAGAGAAAGAGACAGTGTGAGCAGTGGACGGTCAGGGAGAGAGGGAGACACAGAATCTGAAGACAGGCTCCAGGCTCTGAGCTGGCTGTAAGCACAGAGCTCGATGCAGGGCTTGAACCCACAAACTGTGAGATCATGACCTGAGCCAAAGTTGGACGCTCAACTGACTGAGCCACCCAGGCGCCCCTAAAATATGGGGTTTGGATTCATGACCCCGAGATCCACAGTCACATTGCTCCACTGACTGAGCCATCCAGGCGTCCTCTAAAGACTGTGGGTTTTAATTGGAATGACAAGATTTCTCAGTAGTTAGCAGATTTTCCAAAGGACAAGAAAGTTATGACCAGGCGCTCATCAGCCTGAGCAGCCAAGAAAACATGGCAAAGGCAAAGCTGTTTGCATTCGGTGAGAGAAAACCCAGCAGCTCTACTCTGGGAAGATGTTCTCATCATCTCCTCTCCCATAACTTCCCTGCAGACACCGGTACAAGATCAGAGAATCGCCCTGCAGGAGATGTTTCCGAAGGGGCCAGGACAGGATGTGGGCTGGGGGAGTGTGACACTGCCCGCGCAGCTCTCTGGCTGAAATGGTGAGGTGCACGCACCATGCCAGGCTGTGCGCGGTCACCATTTCTCTTGTGTGCGGCCCTGACCATGAGGAGGTGCCTGGGAGCAGGCAGGACACGAATTGCTCGCATCCTAAGTGCTCTGCCCCCTTTTATGCCTCTCGGACACCTGCCAAGGTCACCGGCTCCTAGGACTAGACACAGGAGGTGGAAATCTAAATCAGGAACCGACAGGGAGTTCTCTTCTAGGCTGCATCTGAGCGGCTCAGAGAAGAGTCTGGTGCTCCACTACCTCCACAGGGCAGCTGCTGTGATCAAAGACACAAACTCCTGTCTCTACTAAAGAGCTCTGTAGCCAGACCACGCAAGTTCAAAGGCATCTTCTTCACGTCAAGTTCTCCATTTAACACTCTTGGAACCAGGGACTTTCCTGAGAGCCCGCAAGTCCACATATTTCTACCTTTTCCAAGGAGAGTTATGGACGATCTTGCATTTGGCCGTCGACTGCTGTGGGAGCTGTCTTCACTGGCTCCACGGCGCAGGGATAATCCTGATCACCTGTACCCAAATGGAACTGCCCAGGCAGAAAAGGTCTGTGAAACTGCCTGTGAGGAGGATGCTGCTTCTGCTTATATACCAGCGTCTGATGTCCAGCGCTGGAGGGCTGGCCCAATGTGTCTGCCAGTTTGACTCTGAAGGCTGAGACTGGTGTTATTGAGATCACACCAGGGTGGGGACATTCCTCCATTTATGCCTTCTTGCTGTCCTGACAGAGCAAGGGAGAGGTACAGGCGAAGAGTGGGCCGGTGGCCAAGTGGTCACCAGTGGATGGAGGGTGATGTGCACGTGCTTACCTTCGATGACGGAACTGATGTTCCCTATGTTCTCATCGCTGACGGCTGACAGCTTCTCCATCACTTGGACTTGCCTGGAAAGCTTCTCCAAGAGATTGCTCGCCACAAATGGGGTTTTGCTTGAGAAAACAATTTGCTGATAAAACAAACAAAATTGCGGTGTCAATATTGTCCACTGTTGTCGATGGAGGTTTCCCGACCCAACGTCATCCTTCCTAACACAGCGGTCATGCTAAATACACCTCCATGTGTCCTGTTCCGGTCTGAGAACATCCCTCATTCCATGCCAATTACCACACCTGATGAAATCACACACGTTTTTGTTGCTCTAAACTTTTTCCGTGCCCGTATAGATTCTGGAAATTTTTCGGGAATAGAGCTACAAGGTTATTATCAAGTTGACTTTCCTTTCACGTACTGTGGATCTGTAAATCCTCTTTGAAACTTTGAAGGCATATTTAGGCTGCTTATCTGTGTGCTAACAGAAAAAGAGATTTATTTTACAAGCAGTAATTTTTCACAGCACGGATTTATTTCCTTGTTTTCAAGCTGGAAATTAAGAACATGTGCTATAATAATCATGATTATAATCAAGGCTTTCTCCTTCTAATTAATGAGGGCTGATTATGTACCAGGCACTGGTCGAGGCCCATATATTAGCTCATGCTACTTCTCATAACCACCCTATCAGGTGGTTACTGTTGATATTCCACTTTACTCCTGGGGAAACTGAGGCACAGAGAAGTCCAGTAGCATGCCTGAGGCCACATAAATAGTAACTGATTTCACTTGTGTGCAGGTCACAAGAATAAAGGGCACGAGAGTGGATGAGACAGAAGTCAGTTGCTGCCTGAAGGTTCTAGTCCTTTCTGTGTGCCCCAGAGACCTGTGCCAGTCACCTGGTAGGCTTGGATACAGGGTGCTGACCTGTATTACCATCTTCCACTGTCTCAACCACGTAGACTCTATACAAATAGGATTTCCAGGCTCAGAAGCCTAGTGTAGCAACTATGTGCTGATGCCTTTCATATAAGTAAATACAGTAGAAGTGAACTGACTTTAGGCATAATGTATGGTTCTCATGTGATGCCTGTTTTTACCCCTTTGCAATTACATACCAAATGAAGAAGTAAGCTCACCACTTCAGCAGTGGGCGTGAGTTTGAAATTAAGTTTCTAATCCTTAATCTTTTACATCTTTACATCTATCACTTTTGCTTTTTTGGTGATTTTCCCCACAGAGGGGCTGACTTGTAATAACCATGGTCTGAGTATCAGGAAGAACATTGCACTGAATATTTTTTTAATTTTTTAAACTTTTTTTTTTTTGAAAGAAAGACAGCGTGCAGGGGAGGGACAGAGAGAGGGGGAGAATCCCAAACAGGATCTGTGGACTGTCAGCGCAGAGCCTGACATAGGGCTTGAACTCATGAACCACACTGCACTGAATACTGCTTGTCAATTAGTCTTTGAGAGAAAATGTCCATTCCTTCATGGAAGAGGATTCTCTTATGTCTCACAAAATAATGACTTTACCTCTACAATGGCAATAGGTAGTGTGCTCAGCGCAGAATCAGGCTCAGCAAGGACAAAGAATTGTGAAAACAGACTTATTCAAGTGGTTGGATAGAAAATAGTTACAAGCAAACAACAGTCCTTTCACATTTTGGTCAGGAAAAAAACCCCCCAAAAAACCATTGCACCTTCTGCCAGATTGGTTGTCAGTAAATGGCTTGCAAACTCAACAGTCAACAGAAGGGATCAACTGGGATGGTGGCCAGCCTAGTGGTAAGGGTCATAATTGCCAACCAGTTTCCCACAGTGTCTGAGGTGACTCTGGGGTGGTTTGTTCGTGGAGGAAAAGCACATTCTCCATCTCATCACAAGTGTATTATGGGAAAAGCACACTAACCCACTTCTGGCCTCCCTGGAACCCCTTCCTCCTCACCCTGCCTCTTGTCTTCCACATGATCCCATGCTCCTAGGAGCATGATTGCTTGCTTGCTTGCTTATTTATTTATTTGCATCCTTCCTGCCTGGTCAATCCCCCCGAAAACCATTACACATTCACTTTCACGTTCTTATCCTGTTCGCCACATGTGCAAACAGGATGGAGAAGACCAGCAACCAGGCGAGGAGGAAGCATTTAAGGAGATGCTCAGGGGGTGGAGGTGGGGGACACTGTTCCCGACAGCTAACCAGCTTCCTGCATCGACAGCTACCACGCTTCCTACAACCAAAGAATTTCAAAACATTTGCTTCATTGCGGCAAAAGTTTCACTGGTAAACAGCCTGAAATGAGAAGAAAAACAAGTCCCAGGGTGTCTCGGCACGAGAGCTACCTGGCGATGAATTCAAGACCTGGGAAACCGCGGTTCCCTTCTACGGCGTTCGGCCTGGAGCTGTCCGGGTGGTGGGGCAACATTCCCATCCCCGGATGCTCAGTGACACTGGCTTTCGAAGTCCATGCATTTGTTGACAGCTCAATACAATTTTTTCCCTTAGTCACATTACTCTTCTCCTTTAGTAAATGATTTGAAATCTACAGCTAACCCATTATATGTTCAAGCGCAGAGAGCTAGGTTTTAAGATAGAAAACCCAGGGTTCAGGAAGGATGGCCAGGCCATCGGAACTTTTGAGTTGGCCCAAATCAAAGCAGGATTGTTCTCTTATTCCTGAAGTTTCATCAATCTGGCAAAACTGAAAAAAGGCAGCACATGAGCTGGGTGCAGACAGAGCCTGGGCTCTGAGACAAACGCGGTCGCCACACCCACCTGAACGAGCTGGGTGCAGTACTGGAGGTGCCTGACAATGGTGATGTCGAGGCTCTCGTTGCCTGTGGTCAGCGGCAGGGGGCTTCCGGCCACACTCGTCCCGACTCCTGTGTCTTCCGTCAGTGCTTCGCTCAGGTGTCCCCTGGCCTCTGGGTGTACTGACCTGTAAGGGCTGAAGCAGGAAGGGGAGCGCCTTAGTGGTTTCTTTTCAGCAGGGAAACCCCAGGTCAACCCAATGAAGCTCCCAGGAGGCCCCAGGCAGCACCCACTGTAAAGAGGCTGTTGCTAGCCTACCTGGAAAAACTGAGATACCTTTCAAAAGCTACTTCTTGATTCAGCCCAGTCACCAATGTGCTGTATTAAAAGTTCATGGAAACAAACTACTTCCAGAGTTTGCTTCTCAAGCACAGTGAACCACTTTTTTTTTAAAAAAAATTATTTAATGTTTATTTATTTTTGAGAGGGAGACAGAGCACGAGTGGGGGAGGGGCAGAGAGAGAGGGAGACACAGAATCTGAACCAGGCTTCAAGCTTCGATCTGTCAGCACAGAGCCTGACGCAGGGCTTGAACTCACAACCTGCGAGATCATGACCTGAGCCGAAGTCAGACGCTTAACAGACTGAGCCCCCAGGTGCCCCAACAGCGAACCATTTGTAAAGCGGGCTCACCAAGGAGTCTTTGAAACATGCTTTCACGGTGCACCTGTTACACTTTCTTGCTCTGTGGGTGGGGCGCTTTGCCAAATTTCCTGGGATTAAACTGTCCTCTATTTTTGTGGTTTCCCAAGAGCAAATCCATTAAGAAATAATGTCAAGGCTTTTTCTTGGCCTCAGGTCAATTGCTACTAGAAGAGAAGGAAAAAGGAAAACTGCCAAGACGAGGTATGATGTTCTATCCCAGACAAAGGCTGAAAGGGTTTGTTTACTTGACCCTTTCGAAGCAGAGCTTGGTTCCGCCTCTCCTGCCTTGCTGACACCCCGCTGCTGAACTGTCTTAAAGCGGGGATCATGACGGGCACTTACATTTAAAAATAAATTTGCTGATTCTATGATCCAGTTTTGTTCTTAAAATTAATCTGTGTGGAAAAAAGGGAATAGCTGTCCCATTTCACACGTGGGAGGACTCGCTGGCAGAGATGTTCCCCACTGTGTCCTGTTCGCACAGCTAGGCAGGGACAGGGCAGCTGCTGGCTTCCAGGCTCACGGCCCCCAGCCTCCATGATTTAAAAAGATGGTGCACCCGAGCTAAGAGGCACTGGACACTTTACTCCAACACACACTCGCCTCCAAGGGGAAAGCACTCGGCTTGTGTCCAGGGGATCAGCACGTCTTTAAAACACACACACAGGGGCGCCCGGGCGGCTCAGTCGGTTAAGCGTCCTACTCTTGGTTTTGGCTCAGGTCATGATCTCACAGTCTCATGAGTTCAAGCCCCACATCGGGCTCTGTGCTGGCAGTACAGAGCCTGCTTGCAATTCTCTCTCTCTGCCCCTCCCCCTCTTGCACTCTCTCTCAAAATAAACTTAAAAAAATAAATAAAACAAACACAATTTTCATGATTTTCCCTAATACCACTGATAACATATACTAAAGTTGATCGATTTAGTCAATTTATTTTATTTTTTATTTTTATTTTTTTAAAATATTTTTATTTATTTCTAGGAGAGAGAGAGAGACAGCGCGAGCAGGGGAGGGTCAGAGAAAGAGGGAGTCACAGACTGAAGCAGGCTCCAGGCTCTGAGCTGGCAGTCAGCACAGAGCCCGACGCGGGGCTCGAACCCACGAACCGCGAGATCATGACCTAAGCGAAAGTCAGACGCTTAACCGACTAAGCCACCCAGGCGCCCCCGATTTAGTCAATTTAATATCAATGTTCTATAAAATGTATAAAACCTATCATGTTTTTGCTGCTAAAATGCTTCTGAGACCAAGAAGAATGCAGCTTAGACTGATGTCTGACTCTGACATATCATGTAATGAGGAGACAGATTTTTGATTTCGCAGCATTTCACAAATTCAATTTAGAGAAATCTCAGCATAGGAGGCAGGAGCATCCCTTGAACATTACACTCATTGAGTAACTTTTGTTTGCTGTGTCCTCACTTTGCTCAAAGGATAAATCCTAGTTCTCTTTTTCTCTTTCTGGTTTTGGAAGAAGAAAGCCTCCAGGAACAAGAAAACTCAAAAACGTTGACATAACATCACCCGCAGAGAGGTTTGTGAAGGTGTAACCTGAAAACCTGTTTATATAACACAGCAAAAGTAAAGCTGGTGGGAATCTACCCTTTGCTTTGGGAGAGGGGTGTGTGTATGTGTGTGTTTCTGACAGTTAATGAAGGGGAGTATATTCTACTGTGATTGGTTTGCTTTGCTGAAGTTACAAAATGGACCCCAGACTCTACTTCCAAACACGAGGTCTGGCTGTACAAGGAGGCCTGATGGAGAAGGTGACAATATTTCACCTTCATCTTCCCTTCCCTTCCACTGCCCCACCCTCTGCGTCCCCCCCTAGAGAGAGCCTCATTCTCCACCTGTTGGGCTGCAGAAGCAGAAATTGTTATCAGTTATTGGTCACCCATGGTTACATTCTAAGGCAAATGCGTGCCCTGGTCTTAAACCTGGCCTGGGCATGTGCACTGATGAGCTTAACGTGCAGCTACTTTGCTAAAGGGAGCAAGAGATAAAGGATGGAAAAAGCAAAGTGCAACAAGATGAAGAGATAAGAAATGAGACACCCAGGGAACCAGGTCCACATGGACCATCCATTAAGAGTTCTCCAGACACACAGCATGCTTAGGTAATTTGGAATTAATTACACTGGGGGCAAGTTGTCGACCCCTGAAGCCTCCGAGATATATGTGTACACAAAATGTACACGCACACATACACACATGCCCATACAAAAGTGTTCCCTTCCTTTCTAATGAAGAAAACCAATTCATTTTCCCTTGAGTGGCACAGAAGAGGTGAACAAGATTTAAAAATGGCCCCTGCCAATGAAAGGGAATTGAAAGCCAACTAGTCATTCATGCAGGGAGTTTTCTCTTCCTTGGGATGTGCACAGCTCCCATCGGAGAGTAACAAAGTACCACTGTTCAGAAGAAAGGTAAGCAGATGCTAACTTCACACTTACCTATTTTTCTCCGTCTCGGTGTCTGAAAATACCGAGTCCGTGCCTCCTCCAACATTACAAACCTCATCACCATCCTCCTCCTCCTCGTCAAAATCAGAGGTGTTCAGGAAATCAAAGCTTTCTAAAGCACTTTCGACTGTAAGACTTAAACTGGAAGACCGGCTGTGGTTTCCGGCTGGCTTACACTGCAAAGGCAGAAGGCATCGGGGAGAAGGTCAACATATCCAGAAGCAGAAATGGCACAGGCAACACTTGATCTGAGATGCGACACTTTTCTTTGTTCCAAGCTTTTATTTTTTGTTGTGGTTGGTATTTTTAAAAAATGCATTTAAAATCTTCATATTAAAAAAAAAAAACTACAACAGTGAATTAAATGATACAGTATCTGGGATTCGTTCCAAGATAATCTGGAGGGAAATAAGCAGGGAGAAGAAGAGACGAAACGACACTGGCCATGAGCTGACATCATGGAAGCCGGGGGATGGGCGCACTGGGAGCCTTTACAGGATTCTCTCTACTTCTGCTTGAACGTTTTAGAATGAATGGTTTAGAGAACATTACAACCCAGAAAGCCTTAGGAAACGGAACTGCCATGCCCCTCAGCCTAGAGCTCAACCCCAAAGAAAATACAGCCAGCAGACAAATCTAAAGAGTCATGGCATCTACACCAAATAGTAGCCAATCTGCAATGCCATGTGGCAACATTTGCACCGTCTGGGACAGGAGCTGGCTGCCTAAGGATCCTATGCTAAAGGATTAACAAAACCAACCCCAGAAATAGAAAACTACCCAAACTCAGACCTAACTCAAACTCCCAAGGTAAGCAGACTCCAATATTAATTTTACATTCACGGCATATTATTTTCTTTGAGCGTCAAGGAGAAAAGGAAGGGTACAGACATAGCAAGATGGATCCCTGCTTCCTCTACGGAACAAATCCTGTCACTTCCCTGACTGGGCCCTGGGATACTGTGGGCCAACCCATCCTGGGGCCTGGAGAATTCTGTATTGCTCGACACAGACAGAAGCAAGACGAACGGAGTAACACCAGCTGCTATGGGCACAGAGATGGAAAGAAGTCCTTCCAAATATTCAAGAGGACGGACGCTGGGGTGGACTGAACGGGACAAGTCTTGGGAGTCAGAAGAACTACATGTCCTCCATCCACTTAGGCACTCCTTGCTGACTTCGTAACACAAGGCGGGCAGCGCCTCGCAGAGAGCTGTCTCTGACACTCAAGATGGCACAAAAGCACAGGGGAAACCGTCTTTCGGTCTTTTAAATCAGAGTTGTTTCATTCCCCTCAGTGATCTCCGTCCCAGGGGCAGCATCATTTAGTTTCTGATCCTCAAGAGGCGTTAGCATCCTAGGAATGTGAAGGGGGGGGAGAAAAGAGAAAGCTTTGTCCAGCTGACGCTTTAATTCTGGCTGGATCCAAAGCCACTTGCCCCAGACCTCAACTCGAATGCTGTTTTCAATCTCAGACAGACAGAAGGAGCCAGCCCAGACTCAGCCCACCGCTAGGGTCTTCTTTCTTAACTAGCTATCTGCTGAACTTGACCTTGCGCAGTGTGGATGCGTTTATCTATCAATCATAACAAAAGGGATAGATGGTTAAGGATTTTAGAGGCAGGGTCGTTTTTGGAACAGCCACAGACTGAGATAATACTCTGGAAAGAAATCTGTGACCACCAGGTTTTTATAAGACTCACAGATGGGTCGCTAAGTGTTTACAGGTGGAGCCAGCTACGTCTCAGCCATCTAGATGTCTGGCAATGGGAACTGGTATCCCCACTTGCTTTCTCGAAGGCATCTGCTACAGGTGGGGCCAGTTGTGCCTTTAAATTGAACACCCTTTGCCCACTAGGCAAAGCTAGTCAACTACGCAGGTAAGAGCTTGTTGAGGGGTTAGAAGATGTTTTCGCTGGAGTCCTAGACAAGCGGCATCCACACACGGGTCCTGAACGGGTGCTTCTGAGTTAGGTTTTACAGAAAGCAGATTCAGAGTGTCCCCTCAGAAGCTGTACGTACAGCTGACTTAGTCCATCGTGGGCACTGGAGGACCTGGAGAGCTGGGCCTGAGGTCTCGTCTGCCTTGGGGACAAATCCCCCTCAGAGCTAGGGAAGCATGACTGGGAAGGGTAAGACAGTCAGAGGAGCCTTGGAAAGGTCTGGAAATGTGCTTCCCACATGCCGCCGAGAAGACCACATCTTACAGCAGTCATTCCAAACGATGCAAGAGCCTCCTGTGGGTTGACTCTGGTCTCGCCACGGGCACCTTATTTTCAAGCTAACTTTATACAGCACCGGTCACCAAAGAATGGCTCTCTCATGGAAAAGGACCCGATTTCTCGTCTGGCAACATTAGAGTGGCAACGAACACAGAAGTGGCGTGGGATTCGGGACAAAATCCAGGTCCTGTCCTCTCGTACAGTGTTTTAAAAAGTCGAATCTTTATGCCGGGTGGAAACGGACACATTCTGGTGTAGCAATAATAATCGCATTGTTAGGAACCCCCCTGCCTGTGAGGAAATCATTCCTCTTGCTCTCGGCTGCGGGCACGTCCACCCTGAGCTGTCTGACCGGGAACAGGGTCGAGAGGGACACCCCGGTGGACTTGGGGGTCCCAGGCTTCTAGAGCACGGCAGACGATGATCCGTGATGGATCTCAGGTTCCGACTCACTGGTTGGGACAAGTCTGGAGAAGGGAATCTTGGGAGGCAGTGCCTGGGGCTGGGGGGGGGGCTGCAGGGGAGGCTGGGGGGGAGGGGGGGATAGACCCGTGGCTTCCACATCAGGGCTGCCTAACCAGTCAGGAAGGCACGCGATCCAGCAGCATCTCAACCCCATTATGATCATCGAAGTGCTTCCGTTTGCCACCTGGGGCTACGGCGAGGAGCTCAGACGCTCCTCCGCGCGTTTAACCGCGGTCCTGATCATCTCAGGCGCGTCCGTCTGTTGCAGGGAAATGAAAACTGACGCGCGCTACGGGGGTTGGAAGGGCGGGGCCACGCAAAGGGCGGTTACCTAGCGGTCCCGCCGGGAGGCGGGATGAAAAGGAAACGCTAGGCTACTTTCGGCGGAAGGTGGCCTCAGGTCCCTCGCTCCAAACCAAACGGCACTTACTTTTAGAATGTCGTCCAAATGCTTGACTTCCTGGTTCAGGTCCCGGAACTCCTTGTAGCGCTCTTTGTGCGGCTCCAGCGCGAGGAAGAGCCCGCTGAAGGCGTCCTCCAGGCTGCCGTCCAGGAACGACCTACAGCCCTCCGACTCCCCGCTCACGGAGCCCTCCGACAGCAGCCGGTCCGCGGCCGCCGGCGCCTCGGCCGACGTGAGCCTCTTCACCAGCTGCTTCGTGAGGTTTCCCTCCGAAGTGTCCAGCTCCACCGGTTTCAGCTCCGAGGCCTCGTCCGACTCGCGCAGGAGCGCCTCGGCCACGTCCTTCTCCAGCAGCGGGCGCTCGGCCGACGCCCGGCGCGCCCCCGGGGCCGCCTCGGCCTCCGGGGCTCGTCGCCAGGGGCTCCCGGGAGCGGCGGCGGCGCCGGGCGGGCGCGCGCCCTCGTCGTCGCGCGGGCAGCGCTCGGCGGGCGTGACGGTGATGGCGGGACTGGCTGCGCCTGCGCGGGGCGGGGCGTCGGGCGGGCTGGCTGCGCCTGCGCGGGGCGGAGCGTCGGGCGGGGGCGCGGCCGCGGCGCCGGCCTCGTGCGGCAGCTCGCCGAGGCTGAGCGACAGCGGCGTCTTCTCGGCCGCCTCCTTGCCGTTCTCAAAGACGTCATCAGGCAGGTTAGCCTGTGGCCAAAGGAGATCCCGTTAGTATTTCACATGTGTTTAAAGTTTGTTTTTGAGAGAGAGTGAGGGACAGGGAGAGAGGGGGACACAATCCGAAGCAGGCTCCAGGCTCTGAGCGGTCAGCACGGAGCCCGACGCGGGGCTCGAACTCACCAGCCGTGAGGTCATGGCCTGAGCTGAAGTCGGACGCTTAACCGACTGAGACGCCCAGGTGCCCCTCATGTTATTATTTTAAATACAAATGATGTGCTTGGTGTGGTTTGTTTCCAGACAAGATGCAAGGCCATTCAAATAAACCACCAGCAGTTTCATGATATTAACGTTCCATTTGTTGATTGTGTGTGTGTGTGTTTGTGGTTATGTATGGTTATGTGTGTGTGAATGTGTAGTGTGTGTGTGGTTGTGTGTGGGGGGTTGTGTGGTGTCTGGTTGTGTGTGGTTGTGTATGGTTGTGTATGCTTGTGTGTGTGGGGTTGTGTGTGTGGTTATGTATGTGTGGTTGTGTGGTGTGGGTGTATGGTTGTGTGTGCATGCGGTTGTGTGTGCGCGTGTGGTTATGTATGTATGGTTGTGGGTGGGTGGTTGTGTGTGTGTGGTTATGTATGTGTGGCTGTGTATGGTTTGTGTGTGGTTGTGTGTGTGCGTGTGGTTATGTATGTGTGGTTGTGTATGGTTTGTGTGGGTTGTGTGGGCGTATGGTTGTGTGTGTGGTTGTGTGTGTGCCAAGAGAAAACAAAGCCCTTATGAAACGATTGCTGGTGTTGAATCTAGGTGCAAGTTCATCACACTATTCTTAGGCCTAACATTGTCAAGAGAAAGGGCTGGGGAAGGGGAGACCAGAGAGCCTGTTTCCTAAATCGCAGGACCGCCTGGGATCCGGCAGCCGCACTCAAACACCACCACCACTTTTCGGGCATTTATCTTCGAGGACTTTGCAACATTCACGCCATTTCACTCAAAAGATAAGATGCTATAAAAAAAAAAAAGATGCGATGCTTTGTTCTGCTTCAGTTCTCATCAATTATCTTAAAACAATCTCTACCCACCAATCCCGAGCCCTTGAAAACGTTCTGTTAATTTGGTAACCAGGCCACAAATCACGAGGCCAGAAATATACTCGCGTAGCTCCTGTGAAAACGGGAGAGAAACGCTAATAAACTTGAGCGTCTCCCGGGATTTCATCAGAGCTCTTGAGGTGTCTAGAAACACCGAGCCCTCTTGTCAAGCCCACCAGGCCGGTCAAGTACACTCTGTGATCCATGAAGCAGAGCTCAGAAGGGAGAGAGGCTCCAAATATCCAGGTAACCAAGGCAATTACTTCGTGCGGGCATTAAACTGATTTCTAAGTAGGTTTTCCCCACGCTGCGGGCCGTGCCCTGTCTCGGTGCCAGGGCTGCTTGGCGGAAAACGTTTTCTGGTTATTCGAGATCAACTCTTTCAAAATGGGTAATTCCTCCTGGGTTCTGGGTTTGATGTTTTAAGTAAATGGTAAGCACCAAGCTAACGCCTGATTGCATCTGGGGCAGGGAATGATCGTAACAGTGCTGGCAGTGAGCCCGGGAAACACACGTTCCAGCCAGTGAAAGGGGAGCAGAGCTGCAGGGCTGTGGCCGCCGGACCCCGGCACCTGCTAGGTCAGCCCAAACCTTCTCTTCTCATCTGGTTGGGGGGCAGCTAATTTTAGCCCCAGGGTGAGACGTGTCACGGGGCGCCAAGGGACCTCTGCAGGCTCAGCCTCGCCTCTAAAGAATGTTTCTTGCGTGCCTGGTCCCTGAGAGTGCTGCACACAGTCCTGGGGGGTGGGGGGCGGGAGCAGTCCGGGAACCCCTTCAGGAGCTGCGGGGGAGCAGGTGGGCTCCGTGGGTTCCTCTGGCGTCCTCTGCCCTCCTTCCGCCCCACACCTTGCACCTCTAGGAGAGATAAAGGGCGAGCTTCTGGTAGGAACGGGGGAGGGCTGCTCCCCGGACTTCTCAGAGGGCGTCCCGCAGGCATCTCACAGACCCCCTGGGCCCCTGCAGCTCCGGGGGAGGAGGCGGCACCGGCTAAGGTGGGGGGCGGGTGGCTCAGTCAGGGTTCTTGTTCAAAGTCCAAAGTGCTCGCCAGCCATTTCTCTCGGGCCTCATGTGCCCAAACGCAATGCGCACCCACGTGAGTGGCCAATATGGAGGTAGACTAAGCTGAGACGCTCTGCTGCGCCAGGGGGGCGAGCCTACAGACAGGCACACACAGAACGAGGCGTGTGTGCGATAACGGAGGTGGGACCCCGGCCCGGAGATGCCTGCCGCCTGGGAAACTGGTTCCCCGGGCTCAGCCCTGCGGGGAGGGGGGGGGGGGGGGGCATAGGCGAGGAGGAGGAAGTGCATTCGAGAAGGAACAGTGTGTGCACAAAGATGGCAACTTCTGAAGGGCGTGGAGGAGCTGGAGAATGGGGGTGGGGAGGTCAAGGGGCCCGGGCAGAGGACAAGAATGGCCAATGGCAGGTGTGGAAAGCGGGGCTGAGGCCGGATGGGAAGAGTCGCTCTGCGGTATCTGCCTTTATCCAAACAGCTATTGGAAGCCATCGAGCTTTTTCGACTCTTGCTCTTGTTTAAATTATGCTATTAAAATCTCTACCAACGCCCTCCACAACTTAAAACACGTGACCATGCGTATACACGTGATATCCACAGTTAGGTATACAACTGATCTGCTATAATCGGTTTTTCGTCCGGGTGTTCAGGCACATTTTCCTTATACTGTCTTTCTGTTTTTCTTGGAAACTCCACTGCTTTCTTGGTCCTTGTCACCTGTGTTTTGTAATTCAACAAATTAGATGCAATTATTATGATTATTAACCAGAAAACTTTTTAGTCCTTTCTGGACATTCGAAGATTACTTCTTCCCCCCAAAGATAACTTTTATATGTCCGTAAAGGACAGAATATTCCATGCATGTATGTACACACGTGTACATGCGTCCTCTCTTATGACAACGTCTCCTACATATAATGTAGGTTACATGTTGCATTCCTGACGACAAATGAAAGCGTGTCTTTTACAGAGGCAGGAGAAAATTAACAAACACTATGATAAACTAAAGCTAAGAACCTCTTTAAATAAAAACATCCCTAGTAAATTGGTAAGAATCCTTCTGACCTCCTCCAAAACCAGTTTTTGAGCTTACTCAAATGCTGAGTGCATTTGAATGCCAAAAGGCCTAAAGACTATCATCAGTGATAAACTAGTTGAACTTGGGAAGGAACATCTTCTTTGACCGCAAGCAAGCGTAATTGTATTTTTCAGAGATGGAGGTCTTGTTACCATGGATATCTGTGCCCCAGCAGGGAAAAGTCACAGCACAAAAGCAGGGCTCGCAGTAGAGAGGGACAAAGGGCCTGGCGGACAGAGGCACATGCGTGAGCCAACTTCCCAACCCGGCGACAGGACGGCTGTCACCGTGACCCTGTGAACACGGCGGGGAAGCAGGTGAAACAGGGGACACACCACAGCACACGTGCCAGCAGCCCCAACGGCAAGCACCTCGCAGCGGGTGGGCCACCCACACTCACGTAAAACTCTAGCCCGGCCTTGGGTCGCAGCCTGAGGGAGGGCAGGTCACTGAGGGAGCGGCTGCAGTGCAGCTTGGCCAGGAAAGTGTCCTGCAAGACACCCAGGACGGACAGCCGCCGCGGCCTGTCCGCAGGAGGGTGCAGCCAGCGCTTCAAGAGTCAAAGCAAGACGGGGGGTTAGCGGGAAGTGTGGGTTAGCACAACTCGTTAGCTGCTGGGCCAGCACCTCTGTTTAAAACAAGGAGGCCTCGTGGACACCCCTCCCTCTAAAAGGCTGAGCTCAGAGAGTCTCCAGAAAGTCTGTAGGTTAGCAGAGCGATCGGTGAAGGGAGGTGGAGGAGGGGTAAAGACGGTGGGGGAGGGTGGTTTACCGCCGCTGTGTGCAGATGGCCACGGGCATCTTGGAACCTGCTTTCCTTGGTTGCTACTTGATTAGGGGGAGCTTTATGATCGGCGTTATCAGGAGTTACCGAGAACCCCTAACGCCATATATCAAGCATCTCAAATACTGGGTGCAAGCCTGTCTCGGGTTCAATGTGTCTCCTCCCCAAATTGCCTTGAACTTACGAAGAAGGAGTGATCCTTCAGGGTGGGCGTCTCCGGGGTGCCCTGGCTGTACATGGACATTCTCCTCTGCAGGGCTGCCGCCTTGTTCCCGGCTCCCGAGGAGGGGGTCGCGTCTTCCACGTCAAATGGGCTGCAACACAGCAGGGCCCCGTGAATGCACGTTGGTTAAGGTCACCTCGAACCCCCGGACCGCAGGCCCAGGAAGCACCTCCTTATACTAAAGTAAACACGAAAGAGTGGGAGTTGGGCCGGTTGGGCAGGAGAGAAGCCAGGATAAAATGAAGTGGGGCAGAGGACTGAGTCCAGACCCACCCCAGGGGCCAAGATTGTTATCATGGCATTAAGGGCAATTTATCTATACACCCAGACCCTAGATACACCTGTTTCTTGGTTAATATTCAACATGTAAACAATTAATGCTTGTCCAACAGGAGATGTCGGTCTGTAAAAATTCTTTGAGCTTTGCGTTAGCAATACAAGAGAGTAACAGATGATTGTTCTAGAGAAAACAAACATAGATTCCCGTTCATTTCTGTTGACACAGAGCCTCTCGTGTGACCGGTCTGTCCGCCATCACCCTGTTTATCATCATGCCATCCAGCAAGATGAACGATCTGACCTTCGACACATCATGACTACAGAGGGCGTGGAGGGGAGGCCGGGCAGCAGGCGCCGACCGGGTTTGTGGACAAGACACCAGGGACTTTGCTGCTCCTGTGCTTCATCCCCCATATTGGAAATGGGACCCTGAGTATCAGTGCCCCACATGTCACCCTTGCGTGGAAATACACCAGGGACACTGTCCAATGTGTGGGCAACCAGTGTTCAGTGACTTCCGACCTTTCTCATGAGGAGACTTCAGAAAACCACCTTTACCTTCACCGCTCTGACAAAAGGCTTCTCTGACCCCTTGGAGATTTTCTGTGTCAGCAGAGTGTGAAAGATACTGAGAGGTTTTCCAGAGCAGCACAGGGCACATGAGATAAAGCAGGACAGACACTATAGAGAGAACTGGGATCTTTCTGAGGGTGAAGTATCTCCTATTGGGCAGTTATTTTTCTTCCAAATTAGTTCATTTAAGAGCTATATCTTTAAAAAAATTGTTTTAAGTTTATTTATTTATGAGAGACAGGGAGAGACAGAGTGTAAGTGGGGGAAGGGCAGAGAGAGGGAAACACAAAGCAGGCTCCAGGCTCTGAGCTGTCAGCACAGAGCCCGATGCGGGGCTCGAACTCATGAACCTGAGCCACGCAGGTGCCCCAGAGCTATATTTCTTTATATATGTTGAACGGCTGAGAAGGAGGGAAGGCAGCAGAATAAACTATTTCAAATAGGAAGTAGGAGAGGAGAAAAGTGATAAGACAGAGGCTTCTCCAGCTTACGGACCTGATGATGTGCAGACCTCCCCTGTGGAGCCAGTAGCGCAGAGCCTCAGGCTCTGAGAGGTTCTGACACAGGTCTCAGTGGGACCCGAGAGTCTCCTTCTGTGACACATTCCCCCGGGGACTCTGACGGCCCACGCACCACCCTCTGAAGAGCACTAGTCCGCAGCACGTATTTGTAATGTGACGAAACCGAAAAGGGCCACTTACTACCACGTGATCTCCAGGCTCAGTTTGATGGTGCCAAGGTCATTGATGTCAACGGCCACCACCTGAGGTCGGGCGGCAAACAGCTCTTTGGTCTCGCAGGTCACGCTGCCGACCAGGAGGTGAGTCGCGAGCCCTTTGAGTTCCGTGACCTGGTGAGAGACGGACAGGGATGGCCTTACGGGGGGGGGCCCGGACAAAGGCCAGGTACGCTTTCCCGTCTTCTGCTCGGCTCGCTCTGGGCGAAATCAGCGGTCTTCACGGTGGACTCGGGTGCAGAGGGGAGTCTGCAAGGCGGAGGGGCCGCGGGCATAAGTCACGAACAAAGGTCCCCACCCTGCACCGGGATATGACCATGACAATACTGAACCTTGATGGAAATGAATCCCACGATCAGAGGCAGGAACACGACCTCTTCTCCGTCCCAGCTCTGCTTGCCGTTCGCTTCTATCTTGCCTTTCAGTTTCCACCTCTGCCGGCCGTACTTCATGAAAATCTGGGGGAAAGACGCCAGACCTCAGGCTGCAGGGCCCCTGCCTGACTTGCCACCCAAACTCCAAGATAAAAAGGCCAGGGAATAAATCAGCTGCTGCTCCCCCTGCTTGGTCCTCCTCGCCCCACCCCCTTCTTGTTAGTCTTTCCAGTTCCCTGGAGTCTGGGCGGAGGAGCAGATGGTGAGAGGGGACGAGGCTTCCAGGACGGGGGAAGGTCTGCTCCCCCCACGCGGAGGGCGTGGAGGGCCTTTAGCGAAAGGTCATCAATGTTTCCATGTTACCACGGTCACGGTGACCGGATCCTTCTCCTGGGAGAACACACGCTTCAGTACATTAGCCGTTGGACCCCCAGCAGGAGGAGAAACCATCAGCTAGAATCTACTGAGCAGCCAGAAGCAAGAAAAAAGACCTCCTCCTCCTGGATGAGGGAGACAGAACTGGACACAGACTTTGAAACCTGACAGACCCTAGGGACAGGGTCTCCAGCTGTCTTTGCTCAGACAGCTTTACTGGTTAGGGGAAGACGCTCCTCCCCCCATCGGGCCCAGGAAGAATGATCATAGATGGTTTTGGAGGAGACAGATGAAATAATTAGCGAAGGTCTCTTTTGAAGGGGGAAAAGATAAAAGCCTTTTTTACTTTATGGAGTGTGTCTTTACAATGAAAGGTCTAGATAGTCGTCTTCTTAAGTCCGTGATATTTACGAGCACTCCCGATTCCGGATTGGCTCTTGCACCAGGAGAAAAGGCTGCTGTGAAGTACAACATTGGGACACTGGGGAAAATACGAATATGGATCGTATGGCAAGGGCCAATGTTAAGTCAGCTGCACTGAGAGCTGCACAATCCTGATAGGAGAGCCTGTTCTTCCATTTTTAGGAAAATAATTATGGGGCAAAAGGTCATGATGTCCATGCTTTAGTCTAAAATGGTTCAGCAAAATAACGATCATAGTAGTATTAATAAGGCCAATGTGGCATTATGTTAAAAATTGTTGTCTGGATGAAAAGCGTGTGGGGGTCTTCACCTCCAAACTTTCTCATTGGCTTCATTTTTCCCCCCAAATAAACAAATGTAAAAGAAAAAAAAAAGGCAACGTAAGAAGCCAAATAATGGCAACTGACTCCTGCCCCTCAAATCCTCAGTTCCAACCCGCAGACAGACATGGTACTTACTTCATATTGGTCTCCAGGACAGAGGCGAGCAAAACCAGCCAGACCTGTAAGCGTGCAACAGGGACGTGAGGGGCAGCACGGATCTCCCCGTCCAAACCCACACCGGTGCGCTAATAAACCCCAAGTGTCAGACCTTTGTGAAAGCTCGTGGAATAGTTTTGGGGGACCACCCAAGGGGACCGCTGCGAATCCCATCTACTAAAGCTACGGAGAATACTCCTGACTGGGTTAATCAAAGATGGTGCTTTCTGGGGCAAAGAAGTCTGTTCGGCAGGGGCTAGAACTCTATGAAGCTTTGGCCAGCTGGAAGTCCACTCAGACTCCAGGATCAGAGAGAATCAGGGCCAGAAAGATACATTCATTTATTTACCCCAAATATTCCCATGAAAATAAACTACTCTCTTGTTTTTCCTTCTGTCCTAAAGATTGGTGATTGCTGCTAAGAGCCTCTCACTTGGGCGAAGATTCCGTGTGCTTAGTCTGTCTCCCTCGCCTCTCCCCAGTTCACTCATTCCTGTGTTTCCCCTTCCCTATTTACCCAGCATAATGATAATAGATAGATCATTGTAACAGATAACGATAACTAGATGGCATAACACACCGTCTAATGTGTTATGAAATCACTTAAGATGGATTATCATCGATACAAAGCCAGTGATTAAGAACACAAAACCCAGCCGACCAAATGACAACAACCCACACTCCCCACGTGGAGATGGGGCTTCCCTGTGCTCACGCCATCGGCACGCCCTCCCTGGCTGGATCCGCTCGACCTGAGATCCAGCCACATCTCTGGTGTAGCAGCAAGGATAAATCATGTCAGGCACTGTTGTGGGACATCTCAGGGACCCTGAATTTAATCAGTCTTTTTCTTTCTTTCTTTCTGTAGATATCTATTGAGACTTCCTGTGGGGAGGGATCTGTGCATTGGGGTAATGATCTGGAAATTAAAAGAGATGTTACCGATACCAAGAAGATAGAATAAAATGTGATTGAAGTCCACAGGGATGAAACAGACCTGGACCAGAGGCAGTAAGAAGAGTTAAAGCAGAAGGTGACTTCTGTTTTATTTACCAGGGAGCCTACTCTAGGTATCAACTGCAATTTCATCACCTCTAAACATGGAGAGGGGTGGTGGGCGGGGGGGAGGGTTGTGTCACAATCTCCACCTCAAAGAGCTATTTGTTAAGACAAGTGATGGCCTCTAGTCCATAGTACATGCCTAATACAGAGTAATGATTATATATTCAGGAACGGAGTCATACTATTCATTCATTCCTCTGTTCGTTCGTTCGTAGTTTATTTTGAGACAGAGACAGAGAGAGCACAAGCAGGGGAGGGGCAGAGAGGAGAGACAGAATCCCAAGCAGGCTTTGAGCCTGATGTGGGGCTTGAACTTGTACGAACCGTGAGATCATGACCTGAACCAAAACCAAGAGTCAGACACTCAACTGACTGAGCCCCCCAGGCGCCCTGGGTCATACTGTCTATGGAGCATGTGCCATACGTAGCTCATTTATAAGACGTTATCTATATGAAAAGATAGCAAATCCATACACATCAGCCATGGGAACAGCAATGGAGAGATAGTAAAAGGAGATTTTTGTCCATGTTTTGAATTTTTATAAGAATGTGTTACTTAGGTATCATTCAACAAAAACTCTATCTCATTTGATGCAGGCTAGTTTCTTGGAGGAAGGTAGTATTTGAACAAGAGAATTTCACCATAGGCAAATGAAGGCATGAATAAGCGGGCTCTTCTGGGCAGCGGGAGTGGCTCTATTCACCCATCAGTATTTCTAGAATGCCTACTGTGTGTCAAGCACGATAAAGTTGTGGGGAGGAAGATACGCACATCACATGGGCGCCATAAGTGTAGGAGACTAAACTTGTCAGTGGAGGCTTATCTGTAATCCTGCGTCTGTTTCCATGCCAACCATAAAGCAAAGTCTCTTACCCCAACAGGGACCTGAAGACACAGTTTTAATCAAGAAACAAATTTAATAAGAATGGGCAAAAATCTTTAGCACTGTCTCATTTTCTATGAAAAGAAACAATATAGTTTTATGATAAAGAACTCCAGTTCAGAATTCACTACAAACAGTTATACACCATGGAGTATTACTGAGCCATACAAAAGGATGAGATCTTGCCACCTGTGACAACATGGTTGGAGCTAGAGGGCGTGAGGCTGAATGAAATAAGTCAGGCTGAGAAAGACAAATACCATATGATTCCATTTATATGTGGAATCTAAAAACAAAACAAATAAACAAAAAGCCAAAGTAGGCCCATAAATACTAAGAACAAACTGATGGGTTCCAGATGGGAGGCAGCTGAGGATGAGACAAGTGGGGGAAAGGGAGAGTGGGAGGTACAGGCTTCCAGTTATGGAATAAGTCATGGGGATAAAAAGTAGAGCAAAGGGAATATAGTCAATGGTGTCGTAACAGTGTTCTATCAGAAACAACGATAGCTACAGTCACGGTGAACACAGTATAACATGTAAACTTGTAGAATCACTATGTTGTACACCTAAAACTAATAGAATATTGAGTGTCTATACTGAACTATACTTCAATTTAAGAAAAGAATTCAGTACAAATGTTTAGCTATCTTTAATAAGCTATTATTATATATTAATTATATTATAATTAATATAATTATTAAAATAATTATCTCTGGTAAGGTGATATTATGAGGAAAGTTAAATGTTTGGCATTCAATAGTGATTTTTATTGGTTTTTTTCAAATATCATGTGTTTATTTTATAAGAAAAAGACAAGAAAAAGATCACATATGTTGGTTGGTGGGCAGCATATATGCAGAGAAAAGGCTGTTTGGATACACATGACAATTTTTACACTTAGAGCGATGACATTATGACTTAAAGCATTTTTGGTGTGTTTGCCAATATTTAAAAAAATGAGAAGGCACCATTTAAAAAATTTAAAGCTGATTCGAGAAGAACAATCCTCTTTTCATAGAGGCGGCTGGAGAGAAGTGTGAACGGCTGGTGCGAGGGCGGCCCTGGGACCCCAGGCGGCTCCCCGCACAGGACGTCCATACGGCCAACGGACCCCTTGGTGACTCAGTATCCTCCAGCTGCCGTTTATGACCTTTGAGTTCTTAACTGTTAATTGTTTTTATATTTAATTGCTTTTATATTCATTGTTTTCATATTAGCGTAAGCATGATTTTACCCGTGTAAAGATTATGGGGATGGTATCACACAGCACATCTTGCCTTCTACTCATGGCCCGGTAAGCTGTGAGGCTGTAGAGTGAATGACTGCCCTTCACCTGTCCAAGAGGCACCGCTACGGGTAAGAGAACAGGGAAGGTGCATTTCGGCTTAAAAAGGCACCCGCTGTTACCACTGTCTGTCAGTAGATGGCAGCAACTCACCACCGCCTTCTGCCTCCTTCCCCACAGAGCCCGGCGACCTAGGGCTGTTCCAATAATTAGAACATAACGAGCCACTTTAACAGATTTACTGAAATAAGAGCAGAATTTAAAAAGTCAGTTTTCCCTAGTCATTTTCTGGAGGATTTAGTCTTTTTTTTTTTAATACTTCGGGGGAAGAAAAGCACAATTGGTTTTTACAAATCAGAAGAGGTTAGATGTGCTGATTATAAGAAAATCCAAAGTGCCCTTTAAAGCCCACGCAAATTAGTTCAGGTTTCATCTGTTGCAGGTTTACCTGTGCAAATACAACAGGAGCCTGGTTAAAAAACAAAACAAAAAAAACACCCCACCCCAAGCTGACCTGGTATCAGTGCTAGATCAAAGTGTGTAAAGGGGAAAATCCTTTGAAGGTTTTTTTCTTTCCCTTTCAAAATTACCGGAAATTTCATATCCGAAGAGCTTATCCAAATGGGAGAAAGGTACTTGGTAGTGATGTTTTTGCGCTTATAAGCCCATGTTATTAAAGCAAAATTTCTTGAAATTGCTTATAATGCTAGCACACTGAGACCCCGATTACAACCACAATGTAGCCAGTGGGCAACAGGGAGGCAAAACCATGTCCGACGCTCCCGCTTCCTAATGTTCTCTCCCTCACGTAAGCCAATCACGGCACTGGCTGCAGAATTAAAGCCACCAGTAGGGCAATTACAGTTACAGCCTGAGGTCTTCCAGGCCGGGCTGGAGGCTTGCTGGGATTTTCCCAGTCGGGGAAATCTTTATGCTTTCTCAGTGGTTTTGTGATTACCGCCGCACAGCCTAGAAAGCTTTCATTAGGGCCACTCTAAAGCCACTGGGGGCTGGCCTCCAGGGCTGGGTGGGGGTAGGGGACTTTGATCTCTATGGTGCATCTTCCTCTACTGTTAGTCTGTTGTACTGTAAACACCTAGTAGTGACCGAACTGGCTATTCTACGGCGCCGTGTGGAAGGCCCAGATGCAAGATTAGGAAGCCGCCCACCTTTCCTGCCTCTGCTCAGAGACTTTTCCGACACAAGAAAGCTCCCCACGTTTTCTAATTTTTTTTTTTTCCTAGGAGAGAGAGAGAGAGACAGCGTGAGCAGGGGAGGGTCAGAGAGAGAGGGAGTGACAGACTGAAACAGGCTCCAGGCTCCGAGCTGGCAGTCAGCACAGAGCCCGANAACAGGCTCCAGGCTCCGAGCTGGCAGTCAGCACAGAGCCCGACGCGGGGCTCGAACCCACGAACCGCAAGATCATGACCCAAGCGAAAGTCGGACGCTCAACCGACTAAGCCACCCAGGCGCCCCACTCCCCACGTTTTCTAGTTCCTTTCCACAGATTAAAAAGGTCACATGCGTGGACCGCATACAAATAGGGAGAAGGGTGGCCAGGTGTTCATGGCCATGTGAACAAAGTTCAGCACGTGGCGGGGGGGTCATGGAGCTAAGGAAGCCATACTTCCTACGCCAAGGCAAAGCGCCAGGAGCTCTGTTGCAGGCCTTCCTGATTTATTGACCAGGGAGAAACAATGCAGACGCACCAGCTCCCGGGGAGTGCTCCCTGCTGCTGAGGCCCGACCTGCCCTGCACGCCGGAGAGGCAGGCGCAGGCGTGGGACACACCGCCTGGAAGGTCACTGGCACGCTCACTGGGGGAGCTACTGCTCCCCGAGAGCCCGCATCTTTTCTTCTCCGCCCTGGTTAACAAGAGGCTCCCTCTCTAGCCTGACATTTAAGGTGCTTTAAGATCCAGGGCCAATGGACGCCCATCACTCTTCTTGCAGGAAGCGATTCAGCCTCACCAGCCCACCCGCCATTTTCCAACATGCTTTTCCCTCTTCGGTGAATGCCATTCCCTTGCTGCTCATGTGCCCAGAGCAGTGCCTCTCCTCCGTGTTCAGAGGTTACACCGGGGAGCCTTCCTCCTTCCTTCCATACCCTAAGATAGGTGAGCGGCGCCCTTCTTCGCCACCACCCAGGCTTCTGAGATAACCCAGCCTCCTCATTGGTCCAGCGGGTGATTCATTCCACTGAATGAGAACACTCTGGCTCATACCGCCATCTTCTCCAGCGGGGGTGTGGGACTCAAGACCACACTTCAGGAGGCGGCCGAGGGCATGGCCGAGAGCGGGAGCTCCGTAAGTGTTCGATCAGTTGTTTTTATCATCAATCTGGCCACACCCACACTGCTACACACACACACACACACACACACACACACAACCAAAATGGTTGTTTTCTTCGTGTTGGGTAGGACAAAAAGGGAAGTGTGAAAGGGTGTGGCAGGAGGAAGTGGGGTTAGCAGGTCTGAAAATATTATGAAATATCCTCAGCTTATGTCAGTATGTTTGTTGGGGGTGGTTATGTTTTACCAGAAGGAATAACAGATAAGAAAGTAGCTCATTGCAAAGATGTAAGACCTCTTGGCAGTGTGCGGGGGCTTCCCTTTATCAAGAGAGAGGAAGATTTCCATGCCGGTGTTACCCTTGAAAGGCTTCATAGCTGTAGTTTCTGAGCTTTCATGTTACATTGGGGAAGTGAGAGGGAGAATAGTCTGTAATGAACAAGGAGCGTTAAGTTTCGGGTCTGGAGACACCCCCCCTCCCCCCCCCCGCGCCAGGGAACGGACAGAAGCTAAGGAAGCAGACCAGGTGGGAACGAGAAGACAGAGCAGCAGAGCTGGAAAGGCCGGGATCAGGAGGGCCTGCCGGGCCACCCTGACAACCTTTAGGACCAGAGCCATTCCTTAGCCGGTGCCCAGGTCCCTCAGTGGACGGCGGGCCCCCAGCGTCATCGTCTCACTGACCACCAGGCCGCCTGTGTGCTGCGTGGGAGGCCTTCCCACAGCAGAGGCCATGCTCTGAGCAACGTTAATAGTATCTGCTCTGCTCTCTTCAACATCAGTCCTCCTTGTACGGGATTGAGCGTGGGAATGGGGGAGCCCTGGAATTCAGTGTCAAGTCTGACTCCAACTTACTGTGTGAGTTCTAGGACAAGTCATTGAACGCCCATTTCCCGCCAGTAACATGGGGGAATTATCACCTGCCAATGACGGACGCCCTGGAGAAGGGTGAGCACCAGGAATAGGGGAGACCTGGGACCCCCTGTATCAACAGCAAGGTGTGCTGCTTCCGAGTCTCAGCTGGGAGACGGACTAGCCTGCACGGATGGTGCCCGAGCGTCGGGGCAAAGGAGACAGAAGTGCTTTCTGCTAAACACTCATTCAGGGCAACTGATTTCCAGAATCAGGCTGCTGCTGAAACCATCCTGAGAGTCTTAAAAAAATCTTGCAGGCCCCCTGCCCCCTACTGACTTGCTAGGTCTGGGGCAGGGCCTGAGCGGTTTTTCAACCTCTGACTCTCGTGAGGACCCAACACGAAGACAAGAAACAAAACACTGAAAGAGCCTCGGTGGTACCGCCAGTGCTGAGATTTAACACTGAACAACAAACGATTCACTCTCAGGTCTGCTCGAGAGAAGAATGCAGCCATTGCGGACATTGAAGGTCAAGGTCACTGTCACTCCAGGAATAAACTCATTCAGAGCGGCTCTCGTGCTCTCACGGGGTGCCTGGTGTTGGACACAAACAGTGCCCTGCAGACTTAAATGACTCATTCCAAAACGAAACTCTCCTGTTGAGCACTTAAAAAAGTACCCCCCTTCTCTACTCCCTTAATTGCAAAACACAGACAACAGGGTGATTAAGTTCCCATTAGCAACAAGCCAGGGATCAAGCTGCCTCAGAAATCGGAGGACCAGAAGCGGCTACGCCCCAGCCCTCGTTGCTGCAATCAATGGGCCCAAACTCAAGACACACCGACTTGCTGCTGCTGATCAGAGAGCCTGCCCGCGAGGCGTGGGCAATGCCCTGTTTGCTAAGGCTGCCCTGCCTGGTTTGTTCTGAACAAGCTGCGGTACAAATATAACCCCATGATGCCTCTACGTTGGAACTTTCCAGAGCAAACACCAGAGACGCACTGGGAAAAAGAGGAAAATGCATAGTCATCCGTGGTGTAACACTAGAAATGAATAAAATAAAGTAATTGGTGGGTAGCTGACAGAAAACATGAGCGCAAAGGACTAACTGAAATGACACCACAGAGAAGCCAGAAGACCAATCTAGAATGTGGGATGTTCTATACAACAAGGGTTTTCATGCCAAGTTGATGGTAGGAAGAAAATGGGAAGGGTCTGTTTTAGATGATAGCAAGCCTAAGGGAGACACAAGTGACCACTTAGGATGCCTGGACCTCAGGTGGGTCCTGATGAAAATAAACCAACCGTACAAAGCAGTTTTGAGACAACTGGGAAAACTGGACAAGGGAATGGGTTAGTAACAAAGGCATGTTCGTTTTATTAGACATGATAATACTGGGCATTGGGGTTATGTAAGAAGATGTCCCTATTCTTTAAGGGATGCATATCGAAATATACACAGCCAGACTCATATCTGGGCTACACGTCATCAAAGAGAAAACCAGATGAAGCAAATGTAGCAAGACCTTGCTAATTATTACACCTAGGTGATATGGGGTTCACTGTAATATTCTCTTCACTTCTCTGTATGTCTGAGATTCTGCCATAATAAAGATTCAAGGGTGCAGGTAAGTCTTAGGACTAGAAGGTTCCAGAACATCTATCATCAATACAATAACATAAATGGGGAGGAGTAAAGGTGGTGGCACAGTGTCTTTGCAAGAAAAATAAAAATAGTGTGAACTCTGTCCATGGAGATGGCTCCTGACTCTCTCAATGAGGGAAAGAATACCTTTCATCTCTCTCTTTTTTTTTTTTTTAAGTTTACTTATCTTGAGAGACCGGGGGCAGAGGAGAGGGAAAGAGAGAGAGAGAGTGAGCAAGGGAGGTACAGAGAGGGAGATGCAGAATCCCAAGCAGTCTCTGTGCTGTCAGCCCTGAGCCCGAAACAGGGCTTGAACCCCTGAACCGTGAGATCATGCCCTGAGCTGAGATGGAGAGTCAGACACTTAACCTTCTGAGCCCCAGACGCCCGAGTACCTTTCATCCTGATGGAGAACTCCCCCAGCAGATTCTCCAGCTCTGCTTCAATGGTGCACATGTTCTGTGGAAAGAACGGAAGACTGGCGTCAGGCCTACGCCCCTCCCCCACAGCAGCTCAAACCAAGCCCACACCGTTCTCATAGCTGCAGACAACTGGCTACTGCCTGAATTCCAGGAGGCAGCCACCGGCTTGCAGGGCGCTACCCAGCACCGCCTGGGACGCCCTCCTGACGAAATGGTGCACCTGAGTCTATCCAGGCCTTCTGGTGCATGGGAGATTCGGAGCATAGAAGAACAAGTTCAATTATTTCCATGTTCAACAATGAGGACTGGGATGCTAGATAAAGCAGGAAAGCAGTCTTCTCCGAAATGGAGAAGATCAAGGCTGTTATGTAGTGGACTTCGGGACCTACTGCAACGGAAGCCTTGCTGTGTTGCCTTCAGATGGTACCTCAATTATATCATCAAATTATGCCATAAACAGACGAATCCAGAACGTGAGATGCTGGAAGAGCTGGCCTGGATTCTATGCAAAGGCAATGTTGTGTGTGTGTGGGGGAGTTCTAGCCAAAAGAGGCTAAAGAGACATAACAACCAAATGCCATCTATTGCCTTTCATTGGATCCTGATTTGAAGGACAATAAGCTAAAACAGAAAAGACATCACTGGACCTAATAGGGGACGTCTGGAAATGTACAGGCTTTTTGATACCTCTGTTGAGTGGATTAATTTTCTTACTTGTGACAATGCTGTGTGTTTGTCCAGGGGATACACAGGTTACACAGGTTACCATCATGGAATCGGCACTGAAATACTTATTGTAAAGTGTCACAATGTCTACTACTTACTATCAAATGACTCAGCAAAAAAAAAAAAAAAAAAGAAAAAAGAAAAAGAAAAGGAAAAATTGAGCGCATGTGAAAGAAGGAAAGCAAATAGGGCAAAATATTACCAACTGGTCAATCCGTAAAGGTAGATGGTGTTTATTATACGTCTTGACTTTTCTCTCGATTGGAAATTGTTCTTAATAAAAACGGGGTGGGGGGTGAAAAATAGCTCAGGCGCTACGCTCTGTGAGTGAGGTGGGCTCCTGAGGCACGCCATAAAGTGGTTCCTGGGTCTGATGAGAGTCCTACACTGACTCTGGAGTTGAGGGGACACTGGGGAAGGAGGGACACCATCTCAGGGTGTGGTTAGACTCACCATCGCCCCCACCTTGCCTCCTCAGTATCTGATAATCCAAACAGAGCAACTGGAGATCAGAAAAGGAGAAGCACCATGGTGGGGGGCTCTCTCCAGTGGGGGGCTCTCTCCAGTGGGGGGCTCTCTCCAGTGGGGGGCTCTCTCCAGTGGGGCCCTTTTGCAGGTTGGCCAGCTTAAGCTCTGGAGACCGCCTCAGCTGCACAAAGCGTTGGTGCCCATCCCTCCCCTCCCCCTCCCCGCCGGGGCACCTGCAGGCTGCCCCCTCAGCAGTCAGCCCCCACCGCGGGGGTGGGGCTTGGGGTACTGGGGGTGGCCAGCCCAGGGAGCACTGACAGGGGTTGCTCCCTTTGCATTTTGTTTGCTGAGAACTTCAGAGCGGATCTGCAAGGCTACACCTTCTGGTTCCTACTTGTTCCTTTGTTCTGCCCCAAAAGATCACTCTCCTGAACTGGTGCCTGGACTGGACACAAAAAGAATGGCCATCATCTTTCCCCTTGTAAGTTCCTAGTGCCTGAAACAGCTCAGCAAACCCGGGGGAAACTTCCTGAAGTCTGAGCTCTGTGCTGATTGAAAGCTTTGAGAACCCCTCAGTACTGTAAACCTCTCTTCGTAAAGTATCGTGTGTTTCCGGGAAGGTACATATTACACTCTCCAAAAACGCCAGTGATACTATCATGCGAGCCAGGATAGGGACCAGTGTCTTCAAAAACACCTTGGGGGGCAGCTAGCTTAGCAGTTGGGCACATCTGTGGTCAGGGTTCGCTTCCGTCTCACCCCTGCAGCCACTGATGAAAACTGCTGCACCTGTGGAACCATCCAGAGCCTTCCTGCCCTAAACATTCCTTGTGACCAAATCCTGGCTTTGCAGTTCTGTGAAGATACAAAACCACCTGATGACAAGTGAGGTAGGCGCCTACGGAAATCCGACCCTCTCTTCTCTATGGCAGCAGTTCCTCTTGCTGATGTTGTAATCTACATCTCTGAATCTGCGAGCAGACTGTGATGCCATGCTTTGGCACTTGACCAAGGGCAGGTATTTCTGAAACGGCTAGTGAATGTTCCAGCCCCTGATGGTCTGTTATCGGCTCGCAGACCCTGAACGACCTCTATAATTGCTCTTTTGATTTCATGGATATGGAGAAACAAGGTGTCATGAACCAGAGCTGGGCTACTCTTAAGCCAGGGGTCCTCGGCCCTGGGGTCCATCAACTTGGATGGGAAAGAAACTCTCCGCTGGTTCCCAACTTCGAATTGTAAATTTATCGTGTTGAAGTATCATGAAAGTAGAAAGGGAGCCTCAGCAGTGTGACCAGTAGCTGTGACTCTGACATGGACAGAAATCACATGTATGTTCGTGGTCACATCATTTGTTCTAGATACCTTGAAAAATCATTTACACTTTTGGCTGCTTTAAAATCTTGTAACGTCAAATAACTGCAGGCACTGCTAGATCTTATAACTTGATGTTGATGCGTTAATGAAGCGGCATCAATAAGGCATAGCATGATATCAAAATATTTGGCTTTTTAAGATATTTTGACAACTGTATGGCTAATACTGAAATATGTTTCAGTATAATTGGTTTGCTTTGAATTCCTGGATTCTATGTATGTTATTTCATGCATTTAAAAAGCGTTGTTCTGAAAGGGGAACATAGGTAAAGAAGCCTGTTTCAGACCATGGAAAGAAACTAATGGTTCAGACCAGAGGCGTGGCTGGAGTGACCATACAAAGTGACCCATGAGGTCCCTCCTGCCGCAGGGCTGAGACAGATTGCTCGGCTCTGGGATCTGTCCAGCAGACCCGTAAGAGGCTGATGACTTCATTCATGAAATTCGATCGCTGAACAGACTCATGGGCCAGTGAGACAAGATGCTTTAATAATTCAGTCTTTCATCCAAGACACTTGGTGTCAGGTGACCCCAGGAGGAGTGAAGACCTCCCTGTTTCATATGATTGGGCCTCAGAGACAGAAGCCAGGAAAGCACACTTCTGCTCAGGGTTCTTGGTCTTGCCTCCTTTAAGATAGAAGGGAACCTCCTTATAATAGAATAATCCTAGGCTGGAGGCTTAGGGATACCCAACCTCCAGCGAAGTCATCTTACCCACTGGGTCTGCTCAACTTCCATGAATAAAGCCAGATTCAATCACATGCTAGGAAAGTTAGAAGCGCACTTAAACATCAAAAACCAGGGCATTGCGGCTTACTCATGCATTCACTGAAATTTCCCACAAGCATTTGCAGCCTAGTTGTGCAAAGAGGACAAGGCGGCATGAGCACATAAGAGTGTGAGACTTGGCCAGTGAACGGCTTCATCGAATCTAAAATCTTAGCATTGTACAAGTTCGTGAGCAAGCAGATTCCAAGGCACTAGGAGATGAGTGCCTGACAGGTGGTGTTCAGGGACCGAGCGAAGCCAACGAAAGCCGTGGAGTCTAATGAAGACTGAACAAAAACACCACTGACCAAACTCCCCAGGAGTCATCTTATAGAATTCCGTGGACAGCCCAAACCAGCACGAGGGGCAAACCGTGGAACATCTCCCTGAAGGGTAGTGTGGGGTTGCAGGCTGCTGCTCCACTTGCTGTTGGCAGTTACCCGCGACTGCGACAAGTCTGGGGGACTCAAGCTCCCAAGCTGACCCGCACCTACCTCGGTGTACTCCCTGTAGCTGCGACTGATCTCGGACAGACTCTCCCGGGCAGCTCGGCTGGCAGGGGAGGCTGCGAAGGCTTGCTTCATTTTGCTGGCTCCGTCTTGCAGGCGTCTTTGGATGCAATAAGCTTCATAGAGTTCGTCCACCTGTCGGAACCACGAGAGGGAACACAGGATGGAAGTACGTCATCTCATGTGGAAGAAGTTACATCGGCCATTGGCCAAGTGCTTAAGGCATTTATGTTTCTGACCTCAACAAGGGGCCTTGTGTAGACAGAGACCAATCATTTTTGTGTTAGCTACTGGGATCCATTTTCTATTGTGAAGCAGATTTTCTTCTGAGCTGTCTTTTCAAATGGCACAAAATGGAAAAGGGCTTAACACTGGCGGCTGTGTGCGACATGCACTCGATAATGAAGGCTGGAGTCTTCTTCATAAGCAAAAAGCACTGGAAGTGTTTGTATGAGGCTATTATCACTTTATTTTAAGAGTATTTTCACAAGGTGATACTCACATGTCTAAATTTAGCAATTAAAAAAAAAAAAAAAGAAATTGAGCCAAGACATTACAAGAATCATTTTCAATAAAGAGCCTCACAATGGAGAACAATGGAGTGAGCATGTTTCTCCTACACCTCTACACTTACGCCCCTAAATGATAATAAACCTTTTGCAAATGATGATCAACCGTATTCATTCTATAAGCCTGATTGTCACTTAATGTCTCGAAGGCAGTGATGCTCAATCAACCCAGGGCTATTTTGACACCTAGGGGACATTTGGCAAAAGCTGGAGCCTTTTTTTTTCCCGGTGTCACAGCTGAGAGGTGCTACGGCCACCTGGTACGTATAGAGGCCAGGAATGCTCAAACATGCTGGCGGGAGAGGACGGCTCCTACAACATGGACCATCTCCAAATATCAACAGCGCCTACGCGGAGAAAACCTCATCATTCTTGGGCACAAGTATGTGCACAGGCTTGAACTCTCGTCCGTTATCAACACGCCACCCAGTTAACTACGGGTGCACGCAGGCAGATTAAAGGACACTAGCACCCGGCGTGAGCAGAAGCAAAGGAAAGCTATGACCAGGCCTCCTACACTAGGAGCTTGCTACTACTCAGCAGTCCTCAGACCACTTGAGGGTTTCCTTTCCATACAAGCTCTACTGCCTCACAAAGCTGTAGAACCAGAAAAGGCTGGAGATGAATGTCATGGGTTTTGGAGTTTAAGATTCCTCTTTTGCTCTGAAGGCGAGTTTTGGGGCACTCACTAGAGGTAGGACCTGTCAGCGTGGTGTGGTCTTCCACACTTGCTGTCTCTATATGAGACGTCATCACACTCAGCTTAGAAGACGGAGACTGGACATTGCTCTCTGGTTATGGTATTCTCTGTTGCTCTTTATTTCAACAGTCCACTGAGCTCTGCTGAGAGCCATTGCCGGACTCTGGAAGGCAGCCTTTCATCTTTGGGGCCAACGGATTTGTGCCTGATTAAGGGGGAGATGTCAGGCTGAGGGCTGCTGTATCTGCTGATGAAATCTTTGGGTTGGTGGCTGGCAGAGAAGGTAGTTCCTGTACTGTAACAAGTCAGCCCAGCCTCACCTGGTGAGCATGTTAACACGCTGCCCAGCCCCCATTCCAAGATGCTGATTCAGGAGGTTAGGGCAGGGCTGTGAATCTGAAATCTTAAATACAGACTGCCGACTGTTCTGATGCGGGAGGTCCCCACAAACTCTCAGAAGCACAAGAGCGGATACTTCTTCCAGCACAGGCCAGGCGGTTGCACCCAAATGGTCCCCTGTGAGCCTGCCCCCTTCAGCCTTTCCCCCACTACCGAGTTTGCTATAAAGTCTGTGACTGTAGTCTCCTCTACAAAGAAGCTGCCCACGGGGACACTGGTTTAGCCCTGAGGACGTAGTCTACTACTCTGCATTTAAGGAGAAGTTAATTCTTTATTTTCATTTCCTTGTCAACCTATCCTAGCCAAATGGCGTTCACCTTTAGGATAACGGGTAACCAAGTACTCACTTGAGTGGAAACGGGCTCATCTTGTAGGCAAGCATCTGTTTCAACTCTAAGTCAGCAGTGGCTCTCATCAAATAAGCTGATTGGCTCATTCGGTTAACTATAATTTGTGAGGCACGCTGTGTATATGGTGTTGCAAAGAGACCGCTACCAATCTTTAAGGGCCACCGGGGTTTTTGTGTTTAATAACGACAGATACAAGATGGATAAATACACTCCTACCTAAGACAGGACTTTGTTTTCATGCTGGGTTTCAATTTGCCAACACTCGCCTGCCACACAAATACCTTCGGGTGGATGTCATGGTTTTATTTATTATCAGAAATTGGAGCGGTTTCAGATTGGCCGAGGGAAGAGAGATTTGTCAGAGTGGGAACTTACAAAGGCAGCTGTAGGTACATGTATCTGCATGCACATAAATCATCACAGAATTTTTAAATGAAGGAAATTTGATTGAATATGTGCACCTCCCAGCCCCATTTCACAGAGTGGAACACCAAGGCCCACCTAGGTGATAGAGCCCAGAGGGTAGTGTCTGGAATCCAAGGCTTCTGACTCCTAGCACAGAGATGGGCTGAAGCCTCCAGTCTCTGTACTTGGAAGAGAGGCTGACACACGGGGATGCAGACAGGAATCGCTACTGGTGGGATTTAGCGGCTCCCAAAGGGAAATATATGTTCCAGCTGTACCGGGAGCTCTTTTAAGGGTTCAGAACAAGGGGTGACAAAGCCCCACTCCACACAAGGCTGGGTGGGCCATCAGTGAACTATCTGGAGGGTTCAGGGCTGGGTGTCAGGGATCTTGACAACAAAACGGCCCCCGTCTATGGGGGTGCCGAAGATGAAGAGGTCATGCGAGGAAGGGCAGAAGGGAGTGGGAGCTCCACAGAGTTAGGGAGCTGTTCTTAAGTACGTTTAAGGCCTTCGTGAAGAAGTTTACGGGGTACCGAGTTGTACACGTGCCCAGTGGTCAAGTTAGGCAAGTGTGAAGTTTCTCGTAGGGTCAATTTGGTTCAGTCTTTACAAGACTATGTGGAGACTCAAAGCCCACGAGGAGGCACTGCGTGTGCCCTATGGGAAGCACTTAATGTCCGTTGACCTGAGTAGGGTCGGTGCTATGCCGGATTGTCAGAGCCCTCATTCTTGTTTTTCTCCATCTTTACTGCCTGTTGGGGGACTTAACTGCTAATCGGCTCAGGAGTCAATTAGGTAAGAAATTCTCCACGGACTAGATGCCATGCTTAGGCCCAAGGCGTATCGATTAGTGACCGAGAACGGAAACACACAAGTCAAGATCACTGGAACTTCTATTACCTTACTGATGTGAAACTCCAGGCGCCTCATGTATCTTTCAATCGTTTTAATTTGCTGGAATTAAAAGAAGAAGTTTGAAAAAAGTGCAGCTATTTACAGTTTAACCCATCTAGACTGGCAGGAATGTCTTCTTCCCAATGTCCTACTCAAATGTACCAGAAAATGCTAACCATCTCCCCTTTCTTCCAACTTGGCTATTTCAAAGACCCTCTATGAACAACCTGGCAAGTATTTTCTAAGACATGGAATAAATATTCTGAGAGATGAACTCAAGTTGGTTATTGGAATCGTTGTGGGGAACACTGAGGGAACCCAATCAAGTGGATCTCACTGGTTTCTGGTGGGATGCAGTCACGGTGGGGTAGACCTGTGTCCCTCCACCTATCATCTCTAAGATGAGCTCACGCCCCCTGCATTTTAGTGTCTCTGAAATTGGGGTGCATTTTACAATCGCTACTGCCAGTGCACGCTCACAGATAATCACAGTGGTTCATGTGTCATCCCTTCGTTTGAGTTATAAATACTGTTATTACACGCATTAAATTTAATTACCCTTTAAAATGTCTTCAAGAAAACCATTATACCATGATTCAGCATTAAAATTCTGCATACACAGAAGGGCATGGGAAGGGAAGAGCAGCATATTGAAAGAAATAAAAACAAAATCTACACCGAAAAGCAAACTAGAAGAGTTTTGTCATGAAGCATAAAATACTATAACTTGTAAGTGAAAAGAAAAAACAGTGCCAAGATGTAACTGAAATCACCTTTTTTTCCCCATTAGGGACATATAAAATACTGGGGTGTTTTCCAATCAAGGAGGTCTTCAGTTTGATGAAACAGGTTAGTCCATATTAGAGGGAACATGGGTAAGGAACTCCAAATATCGGGGAAGTGCCTAAACTTATCAGCACACCGAGATCCCCTCCACCCAGGTGGCATTTTTAGGGAAGTGACCCTAAGGACGGTATTGGAGCTACAGACGATGGTACTTATTTGGCCTCCTCATTGGAGACAAGCATGACTTTTCCTAGGCTTAGAAAAATCCTCAGTTCTCTGAGACCCCATTATGCCTAACAGGAAACCACTGACCTCTATTCAAAGATTCAGTGTTTTAGTTTTCAGCAACTCTCCAGCACAGAATGGTAACTCACCTTGTCTAGGTCATACAGGACACCCTAAAATAAAAAACAGAAGTGTCAGAATTAACACATACTCTACTCAAAATTGTTACTGATATGAACAGAGGGGTTTAGTCTGCACTTCTGCATTACCAGTGAAATAATGATCAAGCCTGCCAAGTTCTGCTGGGTTATTTTAAATAGCGGTAAGGGTATTTTTAAGAGCCAATATTTATTTATACTCCGTGTCTCCAGAATTCCACCCCAATCTCTCTGCACGCTGGGAACTTTAAGGGTTTCCCTTGCTTTTAGCTCTCCTCTCTTACATACTGAGGAGCCCATAAATTCATGTTAACTTTTCATTTTTTTTAATGTTTATTTTTTTGAGAGAGAGAAAGAGAGAGAGCGAGAGAGAGAACAAGAGCGAGCACATGAGCAGCAGAGGGACAGAGAGAAAGAGGGAGAGAGAGGGAGGGAGACTCAAAATTTGAAACAGGTTCCAGCCTCTAAGCTGTCAGCACAGAGCCCAATGAGGGGCTCGAACTTGGGAACAGTGAGATCGTGTCCTGAGCTGAAGCCAGACGCTCAACTGACTGAGCCACTCAGGCGCCCCCATGTTAACTTTTAAATTAAGAAAAAAGTTTACAAAAAATACAGCAGTAATATACATGTTAAAGGAATACTTGCCTTCCTGTTTAAACATATAAAACTGGTGTTTAAGAAGAGTTCTGGAGGGCGTGATATGCTTTTCACAAATCATTTTTTAAGCAAGTTCATTTCCTGTGTGCTCATAATATCACAGTGTAATCAGTATAGCATTCCCACATCCCCCCCCGTCAGGAGGGTCTTACGGAACACTCAGTCCTGGCGGGAGCCCCTCCATGCACTCACCATTGTTCTCCAAGGAGAAACATTTGTTGCCATCAGGGATGGTCAAGGGCATTCAATTTTAGTATATGTGCGGCCGAAGCGAGCACTCACTGGTCAAGGGCATTCAAAAGCACAAAAGGCCATTCCATAAGGAGCCATTCCCAGCAGGGATGGGGCAGTTCATACTCTAACATCACCAGGGTATAAAATCTTTTAACTTCGATAAAGCCTTTAACCTCTAAGCCTTCAGAAAGGCCACCGCTACACGTCTTAGCGGATCTCCTAAAACAGAAGATGACAGCAGCTGTGAATGCTAGGATGTGGACACTTTTCCTGGGCTTTCTGACATCTGGAAACATTAAGCTGTAAGATCATTTAGAGCAGAACAAAATCCTTTATTTAAATTTTTAAGTGTTTTATTTATTTCTGAGAGTGAGAGAGAGAGAGAGAGATACAGCATGAGCAGGGGAGGGTCAGAGAGAGAGGGAGACACAGAATCCGATGCAGGCTCCAGGCTCTGAGCTGTCAGCACAGAGCCCGATGTGGGGCTCGAACCCACAAACCGTGAGATCATGACCTGAACCGAAGTCGGACAATTAACCGACTGAGCCACCCAGGCACCCCTAAAATCCTTTATTTAAGTTTATTTATTTATTTTGAGAGAGAGAGAGAGTGCAAGCAGGGGAGGGGCAGAGAGAGATGGAGAGAGAGAGAATCCCAAAGAGGCTCCACAGTGTCAGAGTGGAGCCCGATGCAGGGATCGAACTCAGGAACCCAAGATCATGACCTGAGTCAAAACCAAGAGTCAGACGCTTAGCAGACTGAGCTGCCCAGGCACCCCTGAACAAAATCATTAAAATAGCATATAGGGGGCACCTGGGTGGCTTGGTTGGTTAAAGCGTCCAACTTTGGCTCAGGTCATGATCTCACGGTTTGTGGGTTGGAGCCTCATGTCAGGCTCTGTGCTGACAGCTCAGAGCCCGGAGCTGCTTCAGATTCTGTGTCTCCCTCTCTCTCTGACCCTCTCCCACTGTGTTCTGTCTCTCTTTCTCTCTCATAAATAAATAAACATTGAAAATAAAATAAAATGGGTATAGACTGGAGGCCCCTCTGCAAGCAGACAAGTCCTCACAGATTCATCGGAAGAGGGGAAATCTACAAGCACGTTGAGCACAAGGACATGTAACTGAAGTGGCTCAGGGACCCCCCCCCCCCCGATCTTCTCATAACAGGTACTCCTGGAATCACCCTCCTTTCCCTCGATGTCACTGACCTATAATATCTTCTTAGTAGTTCTGGGTACCAGATTCTGTACTAGCAAGATGCTAGGACAAGCCCAACTTCTCATTTCCTTATATTACTTGGAGGAGGGGCATAGGGGCTTGTTGTGGTTGTTGTTTAGTATTTTTTAAAAAATATTCTTAAGTGTTTATTTTTGAGAGAGAGTATGAGCAGGCGAGGGGCAGAGAGAGAGAGAGACCGAGAATCTCAAGGAGGCTCTGAGACATCAGTACAGAGGGGCTTGAACTCACAAACAGTGAGATCATGACCTGAGTCAAAGTTGGACGCTTAACCAACTGAGCCACCCATGTGCCCGAGTATTTTTTCTTGATTATAAGGTTTATCTGTAGAAACATGCTTGGAAAATACTGAGAACTATTAAGAATAAAGCATTAAGAAGAAATACAAAATCCTTCTCAAATATGCATCAGGAAGTGGATAGTGCTTTGCCCCTTGGATCTGCTTTTCTTTTTTTGTTATTTTAAAAAATATTTTCTTAATTTTATTTTTGAGAGAGAGAGAGAGAGCAAGCAGGGGAGAGGCAGAGAGAGAGGGAGACACAGAATCTGAGGCAGGCTCCAGGCTCTGAGCTGTCAGCACAGAGCCTGACACAGAGCTCGAACCCACGAACTGCGAGGTCATGACCCCAGCCGAAACCAAGAGTCAGATGCTTAACCAACTGAGCCAGCCAGGCACCCCATGATCTGCTTTTCTTTTCTTTTTTCTTTTTTTTTTTTTTTAATGTTTTATTTATTTCTAGGAGAGAGAGAGAGAGACAGCGTAAGCAGGGGAGGGTCAGAGAGAGAGGGAGTCACAGACTGAAACAGGCTCCAGGCTCTGAGCTGGCAGTCAGCACAGAGCCCGACGCGGGGCTCGAACCCACAAACCGCGAGATCACGACCTGAGCGAAAGTCGGATGCTTAACCGACTAAGCCACCCAGGCGCCCCCATGATCTGCTTTTCTTAAAGGTTCTTTCTTGTCCTTGTACCCTTCTCCATCTCCCCATTTCCATCCAGTACAAAAAAAAAGAAAAAAAAAAAGACAGCCAGAAAAGGAATACTGTGCTAACATCCTACTGATGGACAGTACCTACCAGACGGGAGTTCCGTCTCATATCTTTTAACTGCGCTGTTAACTTGTCCAACTCCGTCTGGTGAACCTCCAGATACTCACTGCAGAAACAACAGGAAACACAACCGTGAACTTGGTGCCTGGCACGTGGCATGCGGTGCCGGTGCTGACCCCGTCCTCCAGAAGGGGACAAACGTCCGAGCCCTGCTCTCTAGAGGGCAGAGTCGGTGGGCGAGATGCTGTGTGCTTCTCAGTCTCTCAACTTTCTGAAAGCTCCAGCAGTCGCTTCTGGTACTAACCAGATGGTCGAAGAGGAGAGCGCTGTGAGGCTGAAAGTCCGAAAAAGAAAACCCAACGGCGAGGAGGGGCAAAATACCGTGGAGTCTGTCCTGGGTCCAGGCTCACAGAGTTCTATCTAGTTAAATACAATACCGACTCTACGGGTGCCCTGCACTCTAGGGAAATTGTATTCTGGGCAAACAATCTTTAATAATAATAATAATTATTATTTTATATATATATATATATATATATATACAAGACAATACGACATAATATAACGATTTGGGAAGGATGGTTTCAGAACCCTTCTTCAGCAATCACTAAAATGAAGAAGTCTGTCCACCATTGTTTATTTTATTTTTTTTAATGTTTTATTTATTTCTAGGAGAGAGAGAGAGAGACAGCATGAGCAGGGGAGGGTCAGAGAGAGAGGGAGTCACAGACTCTGAAACAGGCTCCAGGCTCTGAGCTGGCAGTCAGCACAGAGCCCGACGCAGGGCTCGAACCCACAAACCGCGAGATCATGACCTAAGCGAAAGTTGGACGCTTAACCGACTAAGCCACCCAGGCGCCCTGTCCACCATTGTTTAAATGAAATTCAATTCAAGGCCAAGTTAAACACATCGCTAGTTCAGATCTCCTTCCATGTCATGGATATAATGTGGAAACCCAATATATTTCACATGTTTGGGACTCATTTAAGGCTTCCTCGATTGCAGCATAAGGATAAAATATCACTACAGAAAGACATTTTAAAATGATCTCCTAAGACTTAGCTGCCTGTCCCCACCTCCCCACTCCCCCTACCCAGGACTTTAGAAAGGAGAATCGTCCTAGGGTATTCTTGGGTTCAATGTTCTTACTCAAGTCCATTTTTCAAGGCTCTGACGACCTCTTCCACCCTCTTCGGCTGAGGCTCTTTGGGCGGGTTATTGTTTTTGTGTCCTAAATTGTGCATTTTCTTCAGTTTGGCCTGAGGCTTCTTGAGAGCGGAGGGATTTTCAATAAAGGAGTTACATCTATTCAGAGAAAAAAGAAATTGTGAGTCTCGGCGTCCCAAATGATTTGAGCAAAGAAATACCTTTTTAATCATCTTGTGTTTGTATTAGTGCCTTTTGGGGAAGCTACTGGCCCCTTATATATGCATAACCTGAACTGTCCTATGTTTAGTTTATCAGTAGATGCACTATTAGATTTATTACCTTGAACTGGAGGCTGTGGTGGGCACTGGCTACCCACACTCAGGCACTGTGCTCTGCGTGAAAACATTCCCCACCACTGACACCTTGTAGAAAGCCAAGGACAAACACTTCCGAGGAAGTGAGAGAGCAGAGGAATATAATCCAATGGAAAAAACACGTGCGCCCTGTAACATCAGGCACGGGCGTCTACAAAATTCATCTAGGATGTGAATGAACGGTTTTGTTTTGTTTCTTAAATATTTATTTATTTATTTTGAGAGAGAGAGAGAGAGAGAAAGCGTGCGGAGGGGCAGAGAGAGAAGGAGACAGAGAATCCCAAGCAGGCTCCACGCTGTCAGCACAGAGCCCGAATCGAGGCTCGATCCCACAAACTATGAGATCGTGACCTGAGCCGAGATCAAGAGTCAGATGCTCAACAGACGGAACCCCCCCGGGCACCCCTGAACAGTTTTTAGATAAAGGACTAAAAGCATGACACGTGGCTAACTCCAGACAGCATTAAAGAGAAGTCCACATAGCTGGGCTGACAGCTTGTTTTAGGCTTGATTTTTATGGAGTCAATTATCTTTAGGTAGAACATAAAACTCAGTGTCTGTATTAGTGGCAGGAGGCAGCCTGCGGTGGGGAGATGGTCCCCTGATAACACAGACCCAAACTACTGACCGGTTAGGAGACCACGAGGCCAGCGCCTCCCTGACCCCACCGTCAACGGGAAGGCCGTGACCTGGGGGTGTGGCAGCCGCCTGCCCTGGGCCCCTTGCAGGTTACTTGTTCTCTGCCGTAACCGCGTGCACTGAAGGGGATGTGACCGCTCAGAGCACGTGGGCCTGAGAGCCCGAGACCTCTGTCGTGTCAGAGAAACCGACGGCAGACTTACTCCATGTTACCTATTCCACCACCAGTGTGTTCCCCAAGTCCTAGCGCAGATGAAGGCAGCAGAGCTCTAACTTCCCACACCTGTGACCCCGTCACATCTGCTTCCCAGAGTCAACGTGCAGAGGCAGTCTCTACCGGCTGCGTAACTTTATACCCGACGCAGTCTCTTAAGTCTGGATGCCATGGGGCACGTGCTGCACAGCGGTGGAGGGGGTAGGTGGGGAGAGCTATGCACACAAGCCGCCGGCGTCTCCAAAATCCTCAGCTGTCTGCTTTGCAGCAGGAGGTCGAAATACTTAATTTTTGGCGCATAACATCTGTTTCATGAAAGAGATTCAAATAACACGTGTGTGTGTGCACGTGCGCGTGTGTGTGTGCGTGCGTGCGTGTGTGTGTGTGGTGACAAGGCTGCATGCTCACGGAGCCTCTGCAGGGCATGAGCTTGCGTCCTTCCTGAGCCACATCCTGGGAGAGACCCCCACATGACTTGCCTGGATCGCCTCTCCTGAAGGCCGCTGAATCCCGCAAAGGACTGGCTTCTGATAATCCCATTGGGTCCTCCAGGTGAGAAGGACTGGGATCCCACCAACATGATTTCAGGGAGTCTGGCTGGTTGTCCTGTAAGACAGTGGAAAGATTATAGCAAATTACAGGCAGGTCCAGGCAGACAAAACACTAAGCTTGTCAACGGTGACAAAGGTGAGGTGAGGTGAGTCATGAGACCATTAGATGTTTGTAAGTCTTGTTTCCTAGGGCTCGTTCTTTTCCAGCCAAAGGAGTCAGCTCTCGGGTGAAGGAAAGAAAGAGATACCCACGCACGGAGACAGAAATAAATGGAAATTGTACACAATTATCAGTCACTTTAGGTTTCTTTTCCGGGATTTTTTTTTTTTTTTTTTTAATTAGACAAGGTTCAAATACACAAAAGCTTCGGGATGTTTATCTCCGTTCCACAGCAGAAACACACAAACAGGCCAAGTGAACGTCTCTGGCATCCCATTCAAAACCAGTCAGGTCTCGGGTAGAATTCTACGCTTACAAGTCAGTTGGCTGAAAACACTAGGTGTCTTTAGAGATGAATTTACTTAAACTTGTCCTTCTTTCTCCCCTGAAGTATATTTTGAAAGATATGATCTCGCCACTATTGTGGCCTCGCAAAACAAGAGGGGTAAAGAGGGCGCTCACAAAAGTGGGGATGATCTAGGTTATTGGGATGAGAATACAGGGGGAGCGGGAGGGAGGGGAAATACAGCAGAAAGCGCGCCCCCCCATTTCAGTCTCTTGCCTGCCTTTTGTCAAGACTCACACACCAGTGACTGAGAGGCATTGTCTGAACACAACTTGGGCGGACACAAGCCTGAGGTGACTTCCCCCAAAGGACCGGCCCGAGCTGCTAGGTAATTCTATCGGCCTGGGTCAGGCAGTGGAAGCAAACACCATTGTCTTAACAAGGAACCTCACTCCAGAGAGGGGGGCGGAGGAGGACCGGGCTCGCAGGGGCCGGGGGAGGTGGCCTCTGTGCAGGCCGAGGGCTTCCAGAATACGCAGACACCAGCTGGGCCTGTTCGAACAGCATCAGTAACTATCCTTTAAAGACCCAGCAAGTGAGCAAGAAAAGCTACAAGGCACAGCAGCGGAACTTTCCAGATGTGATGGAGGAGCCGCCTGGCCGGCGGTACTCAGAGCCATGCCAGGCAGCTCCTTGAAAAGGAGGGTGTAGGGAGGACAGTCTGGCCCCTCCCCCACACCTTGGCCAGTGTTTAAATCCCTCATTCGGTCCCTGCTACCCTCGCTCCGTCTCTAGAAGAAAGCAGAGGAATTCTTGCAGGGCCCGGGTGCTGACTCACTTGGCACCAGGCCTTACAACGGGCAACAGGCTTGCTGGACGGGACCAGAGTCCCACCAGTTCCAGGCCAGCTGTGGGGGTGGGGGAGAAGCTGAAGTGTGGCTGGCGTTCTTTCATTTTATTTTTAAAAATTTTATTAAAAAACCTTTTTTTAACGTTTATTTATTTTTGAGAGACAGAGTGTGAGCCGCGGAGGGGCAGAGAGAGGGGGAGACACAGAATCCGAAGCAGCTCCAGGCTCTGAGCTGTCAGCACAGAGCCTGAGTTCAAGCCCTGAGATCATGACCTGAACTGAAGTTGGCCGCTTAACCAACCGAGCCACCCAGGCGCCCCCTTCTTGCATTTTAAAGTGATGATGTAGAAGTCTGTGGGTGTGTGTGCACGCGCGCACACGTGTAGCAAAGTTAATACCTAGCGTGCCGACAGCAGGGAGAAATGCAGGACTTATTGAGGTCCTTCTAAGTGCTCTCTGTTGGACTAAGAGGTCCATCCGCTTCTCAGGTTCATAAAGGATGCTGGGCCATGCAAACTTGTCCTGAGTGTCAAGAAGACGCTATTGTTGGGGCACCTGGGTGGCTCAGTTGGTTAAGCAACGGACTTCAGCTCAGGTCAGGATCTCACGGTTTGTAGGTCTGAGCCCGGCACCAGGCTCACTGCTGATGGGGCAGAGCTGGCTTTGGCTCCTCTGTCTCCCTCTCTCTGACCCTCCCTGGCTCTCTCTGTCAATCTCTTTATCAAAAATAAATGAACAATGGGGCGCCTGGGTGGCTCAGTTGGTTGAGCGTCCGACTTTTGGCTCAGGTCATGATCTCACCGTTTGTGGGTTGGTGGGTTCAAGCCCTGTGTCAGGCTCTGTGCTGACGGCCAGCTCAGAGCCTGGAGCCTGTTTCAGATTCTGTGTCTCCCTCTCTCTCTGACCCTCCCCTGCGTACGCTGTCTCTCTCTCTCTCTCTCAGAAAAAAAAAAAAAAGAACATTTTAAAAAAGGAAGAAGGCACTTTAGTTTGCTTTATTTCTGTACTCAACAGTTTTATAATCACCTTAAGGTATAAATTTGGTGAATTTTATTATATCTCATTTTATAAATTATTGCTTAATATATTGTTGCATTACAGAATTCTTTGATCGTGGGAAAAGAATGAAAGCATTCGAAATATTTTAATGGCATGATTGTTTTGTACTTCCTAGAAATTTTTAAGCCACAGAGATTTTTTTCTCTTATCCATTTGATCAGCAGTTTCCACTAGGGGCATCTGGCTCCTATGCAAAGGCATTGAATTTAATTAATGTGGAATGCCAAGTGGATATTGGGGTTTTGAAAAGGTCCTCAAGTGGTTTTTACGCTCAGTAAAAGAAATGAAAAAGGTGATGCCAAGTTGGTAGAAATTTTAAAACTTCAGTTAAAATAGTCTTCTCAAATCCAACTTTTAAAGTATACTGTTCAGTCTTAAATAGGCTTCTCTTTGCAATGTCTGGTTAAAGGAATTAAACCTGTGAACCGGATGGTAGAATAGTTAGCCTTCTTCCTCTGTTCAGTGATAGGTAAGGGTCTTGAGAATAAAACACACGCCTGTCCAGGGTTGTAAGCCTGTTACGTGCTTGGGGATGAGTAAACCCTCAGAAGGTTTGCGCGCCAGTTATATGCTGAATGGACGATCAGTAGGAACGTGCTTGCTGGCCTGAGGAATGATCATTATCAGGACAGAATCTGGCGGAGAGCTGGTTTAGGCTGAGATCTCTATCCTGTGGGTCAGCCGCCCCAAAGGCCAACAAGCCGCCCAAGGGGAGGCATAAAGCACATGTGCGCAGACCCCACACAAAGTCCGGCTGCTGGAGGAAGGAGCAGGTTGGGACGGGGAAGGCAGAGGTGGAGGTATTAGGGATGAGCCGATACAACACGTGCCCGGCTGCTCCCCCAACTCTGGACGAGGCAAGACCTTTGCTACCAGTCTTCCAAGCGCCTCAGCCCCTCCCCATGTGCACACGTATCCCAAACGCTCTGGTTTCATGTTTGATGACGCCACTCCCACCTCTGTGCTCTCAAAGGCTGCAGGCTCCTCCCTGGGAAGTCCCCCAGATGCAGTCTTCCCAGCTTCCAGCAAAACCACCCCCGGCCCTGCACCACTCCCTTTCAAGGCTCTAAGGATTTAAAACCAGCAGCCCCACCAGAGTAATTTACACTTTAATTGCAGATGCTCTTTTGGCCTGAAAGCCTGAACTTAAAAAAAAAAAAAAAAAAAAGGCCACGGTGGAGCAGACGTGTCGATGATGCTGGCAGCGCTGCGAAGCGCTACCCAAAGCTTGGAGGATGATTTGGAAGCTCTGTTTAAAAAGTAAAACATTTGGGCCACCTGAGTGGCTCAGTCAGTTGGTTGAGCACTTTGCTCTGGATCTGGGCTTGGTCATGGTCTCAGGGTCGTGGGATCGAGCCCCGCTTCGGGCTCCGTGCTGAGCATGAATCCTGCTTAAGATTCTCTCCCATCCTCTTCCCCTTCCCCCTCAATAAAAATATATATATTAAAAAAAAAACACATTTGTATCCTTTAACATGTCATATCTACTCTTTAGTATGTCCTGTAGAGAAAGACTCAAGTTCACAAAGGGGCATTTACAGGGATGTTCATGACAGGCAATGTCACTGGAAAAATGGAAAGGACGGGAATGTCAATCTTTACAGCAACAGTTAATAATACATCCTGGCATAACCCTGGGATAGAATACTATGCGCCAGCTAGAAAACAGTAGGCCCAGGGGCGCCTGGGTGGCTCAGTCGGTTGAACATCTGACTTCGGCTCAGGTCGTGGTCTCATGATTCGTGAGTTTGAGGCCTGCGTCCGGTTCTCTGCTGTCAGCTTGGAGCCTGCTTCAGATCCTGTCCGCCCCTCCCCTGCTTGTGCTCTGTCTCTCTTTCTCGCCCTCAAAAATAAATAGACATCTGGGGCACCTGGGTGGCTCAGTCGGTTGAACGTCTGACTTCAGCTCAGGTCATGATCTCACGGTTCGTGGGTTCGAGCCCCGCGTTGGGCTCTGGCTGACAGCTAGCTCGGAGCCTGGAGCTTGCTTCAGGTTCTGTGTCTCCCTCTCTCTCTGACCCTCCCCTGCTCATGCTGTGTCTATCTCTCTCTCTCAAAAATAAATAAAATAGGGGCGCCTGGGTGGCTTAGTCAGTTAAGCGTCTGACTTTTGCTTAGGTCATGATCTCGCGGTTCGTGGGTTCGAGCCCCGCATCGGGCTCTGTGCTGACTGCCAGCTCAGAGCCTGGAGCCTGTTTCAGAGTCTGTGTCTCCCTCTCTCTCTGACTCTCCCCTGCTCACGCTCTCTCTCTCTCTCCTAGAAATAAAAAATAAATAAATAAAATATTTAAAAAATAAGTAAATAAATAAACATCAAAAAAATTTTTAAAAAGGATCGAAAAGGAACATAACATGACACGGGCTGGGCCACAAATATATTTATATTGTGTAGAAGTCTCGCAAAGGGGAAAATGATTGCTAAGAAATAATGTGTCAGGTCTCACAAATTCCCATGACCCCGGAACAATTCAGATCCCCCCAGTGGCGTCCTTATGATGAGTTCTGAGCTTTGTACCAACGTCTTTATTTTCATCTGCAAAACTCGTAGAGGTGGGGCTGGACTCTGCACTCGAGGCTCCCCATGCGTGAGGCCAAGGCTGTTCAGATCCCACGTCTAGTGACCAAGAAACTCTCAGAAAACAATCGACTCTTCTTTGGATGCTGCTACTTAAAACTGCCGGGGCTTCGAAACACGTTTGT